ATTTCTTCTATCTGTTTTATTAAAATACTCCACTTTAGTGTTGAAGTAAGAGAATATTTAAATCACACATTTAATAACCGATCGGTAGGTCCCCAGATTTAAATAGTTTGGACATTTTCTTTTGGGGCATCTTAACGGTTTGGTTTATCGCACCCCAGTTAACACTATAGAAGAGCTGAATAATCGTATAAGAGCTTTCGGCGGTTTAATAAGAAAGCAATGTGGCGGCTTATGGGGAAAATAACTGAAACGTGTATCCTTCAAGGTGGAGAACACTTTCAACAACTTGTCTAGTATCTGTGTTGTACTTTTTTTCAAAAAGCTTGTTACTAATTTATTAACAGACAGTTTTGTTAAAAATTATTAATAGTAGGTAGTGTTTTTTTTTAAATAAAAATCGTTTATTATTTATCTTTTTGTTAGGATGTTATGTTATTTGATTGAAACGGTAAAAGTAAACAGAACAGTCTTATAATTTTTTTTTGAAAGACACTAGTTGGTAACTAAAATATTTTGTTTTAGATAGATTTTTTTTTGTGAAAAATAAATACGGGCTTGGATGTTATTGTTCAAGTATATATTTTCTATCGTCTGGACAATATTTATGGGTATATTTCTGTTATACAATAAATGTATTACATCTTCAAGTTGAACACGATCAAATGCTTTTGTGAGAGCAATGAAGCATAGGTAGGCTGGTTTATTATACCCTACCCTACCTACCCTAAATAATGACACTTAATACATGTGTGCAAAATTTCATTAAAATATCTAAAGTGATATAACAGATATTAAAAAAAATATGTTTTATTTTTGAAAATTTTACCACCCTTTATCTCAAAAGTTAAGACAGGACAAAAATCGCACCCTTAAGTATTGACATTCAATTAGACATATATGAGTCACATATTCACATATTGCCTAGATTAAGCAACTTGAAACTTATAAAATATAAATATTGTGCACATGCAAGGACCTTGACATAACCATTGACAATCAATTAACATGCAAATAATTTAACTTTTCTTTTTCGGATAAAAAAACACCGAAAAATTATTCTATATTTCTCATATACCTCTAGCACAAAGCCATTTAACATACGGAATTTTAGGACGGGGAGCAATTTCTGATAATTACTAATAAATTTCTAAATTGTTATCAGAAAGAAGTCATTCGCGAAAGTCACAAAATGTATCATATTGAAACTATAAACAAAGAAAATGCATATCGAACTACCTCTCCAAAAACACTGGGCGAAAATTCACTCAAATATTTTGCTCCTAGATTCTACAATATGCTTCCCAAAGGTATTTGAAAGATAGATAGATTTAAACACACAACTCAAGCTTGGGTATTAGAAAAAGGTAGGCAAATTTTAACATAACTGATTTAAAATATCTAAAATAAGGAAAAAATAATCAACTTAATTTTTCAAAAAAAGTTCCACAGGCTACTTTAATACTATCTACAAATTAACGGTTGTTCATTGAAATACTTCGTTTCTACACGAATTCTATTCTTCAAAAGTACAAAAGTGTTCCTACACGAGAAGCCTTGTATATTGAATTTTAACTACTTTCAAATCTGAATCTTTGCGGTTTATGTACCTCCTAACATTACTCAAACGCTGTTAGCATTTTTTCAATATTTTGAAGCCTTGTGTTGGTTGTATAGTAATAAGATTGTAATTTGGGACAGAGCGCGCAAAAGAGCAAAAAATGAAAATACTCAATAATTTGTTTGATTTGAGGCACGTTAAATATATTCAGAGCTATTAGGGTAGAATTCTGGACTTTCTAACGTAAATGGTAAAGTTTCTAGAGAGATAGGAAGATTTGTGCCGGAAGATAACCACCACCCTACATTTAACATGATATTTTATTTTTCACAAAAAAAAATCTCGATTTTATCAGTGCAGTGGCGACTTAATTAACCAAAACCTTATTTGTTAATACACAATCAGGGACGCGCCACTTAGATGCAAGGTTTTCACTTAAAAATAAAAACTAATTTCTCTACATGCTGTCATATTAACAATATTGTTATGACCATGCAGGGAAGATGTTTTTATTTTTTTAAACGAAAATCGTACATCGGATTGAAAAAAATCAAGAAAATAAATTTCTTTAGCAATTATGGGAAATTAATATATTTTATTAATAATTTTTATTTTAAGTGAAATCAATGACTTACCATCAATGTCTGCTAAAATAGAGAGGAGAAACTTCGTACGCCCGCCACTGGTGCATTTAAAAAATTGTGGTACAATAACTAATGCCTTTTCACATATAGTACATGTGTGCCAAATTTCATTGAAATATCTAAAGAGGTATTACAGATATTAAAAAAGTATATTTTATTTTTACCACTTTACCACCCTGTATCTCAAAAATTAAGACGTCATGAATTGAGACGAAGTTTTTTTTTTAAATGGACCAAAAAATCTCCCTTTTAATCATTGAAATTAAATTAGAAAACATCCTGTATATATTGACGCAATTATCTACAACTCACAACAATGAACACAGTTGTTAGAATTAGGTTCTTTTAAAAATTAGTACATTACATTTTTCTCATCGTCGTCGTCTCGTCTAAGGAAATTGATCTAATACGGAACTGGCGTCGCGATACTTTGACATTGGACTAGTGCGTGGGGGTCTTCATTGATACGGATAATGTGAATAAAGCAGGTTAGAAAGGCAATGGGAGTGGGCGGAGATAAAGTCTTAAGGTAATTAATTGTTTTCGAACGTCGTGGGTAGAGTTTCCGTTTCAAAACTGCGCTAACCTCGCCAGTTCTCAGAATTTCACCAGTTTTCATGCGTTATTATTGAGCAAGCCCGACGCCGACGCGGTTTTGAAGCAAACTTGAATTAACTTTGTTATGCGAACTGTCAAAAATATTTTTCGTTTGCCTAATTTGCTCCGTGATTTTCAAAATCGATGTTTGGATTTAGAAATTAAATTACACGAGACTAAGCAAATTATCAGAAAAGAAAAGGTCATAAATGTGTTTAAAATTAGTACCTGTTTCTTGATATATGGTTAGAAATGAAGTTTTCTCGAGTCATTATAAGAGATTTACTTATTTAGTAATGGGTTATTTTAGTTTGGTAAAATGACTACGCTTTTCCGCATTCATTACTTAAATAATTGTTTAAGGTATATTACAAACATTTTTGATTCATTTGGAAAAACGTTAACAGTAAAAATGGATTAATAAAAATTTGAATCAGTTAATTCGCTTAGCGTAGACTAAATTGATAATTGGATTAAATTAAAATGTGCATTTTTCATTTTTTATCGAAATAGTTTTACGGTTATCGCGCAAATTTTCGTAATTCATTTTCGAAACATTTTTCATTACCTAAAAAAGCAATCTAGTAAATATTAAAAACTATTGATTAACAAAGCTATTACATTAACTTTGGAATCTAGCTTTAATAATTAGCTAGCGTAAAAAAAAACCGGTAATACGGCAAACTTGAAGGAGTATGTAGTTGAGCAGAGTAGTAAAGTATAAATAAGCTTGTTGGGTTTTAACTATTCTCCTGAATTTATGATAAAATGGCGTTATTCTATTTGATTTTCTAACTATTGGGATTGTACTTAAATATTTGCGGCATTATAGAGACACATATTTTCAGACCAAGCTTAACAATCGCCCAAATTGAGCTTTACATTTAATCAATTTACCCCTAACTAAATTTAAAAAAACGAAACTTGCTAGTATGTATAGTATGTAAACTTGCTTATTACAAATGGAACCCTCTGGGTTTTAATATATTTTTTAATTAATATATATATTTTATATAATATGCTATACATAAGTCAGCAAAGGTTTTAGTTCAAAAGTGACATTTGCAACTCTTACATCAATCAATTTTTACGACTAAAAGTCTTTTTTATATATTTGATTTCTTTATAGAATGGGAAGTCACTTTTTTCCAAATTTAAATTATATACTTTAATTTAGTATTTTAAAAATTGAGATATTTCAAAACATTACCAATAAAATGTTCAATTCAATTACAAAATGCGATGACAGTTTTAAGCCCTCTTACTTAACCAATTTTTTAAATAGAAAATTAAACTATAAAATAATATATAACAACAGAAACCACTAAAGAAATCAATCAATCAAGTCAAAGGCGTTTAGTCCTAAAAATCGATATATGTAAGAGCTGTAAATGTCACTTTTGACCTAAAACCTTTGCTTATACAGGTATAGCATGTTATGTATAAAATATAAATTGATTAAAAAATATATTCAAAACCAGAGTGTTTCTTTTGTAATCAGAAAGTTGTTTATAACAATATAATATTTTGAAAGTATTAGTAAATAGAAACGAGCTTTGTTTCAAAATTTTATTAGTAGTAGTTTATTAGTAGACATTTAAAAAGTTTCCTTTCACTTCTTATAAAGAAATAAAAGTCAACGAAATGATATGCAAAACGTTTTTTTTTATTTGGTTACAATTAAAAATAAAAATAAAACTTGAAATTTTGACAATTTATCGAGATTAAAGGTGAAACTCAATTTGAGCAATTTTTGAGCTTCGTTTCAAAATATATGTACTTTTAATGTCGCAAATATTTAAGTACCATCAAAATCAAATAGAATAGTTAAAACGCTACAAGGTTATTTTTACTATACTACTGTGCTCAAGTACCCACTCCTTTATGTTTGTCGTATTACCAATTTTCTTTAATTTATCGCCAGATCCTATAAACACATAATATTAAAGTTAAAACTTTTGACTTTAGGTTTTCTTATGTTTTTAACAGGTTCTAAAATAAGGTATTATTCCTGTAATGAACTTACGACCTAAGATATTCTATAGAAAAAAGTACAGTCGTGTAGTAAAAAAAACTAACAAATGTTTCCATTTTTCGTGTCATAAAAAAGTCTTTGATGTCATTGAAGAAAAAAGAACAGTTCGGTGCTAATACACATTTTGTACTAGGACCGCCAAATTGATCAATATATTTTTCCTTAGATAACCGGAAATGATAGCAGATGAAAGGGTAGCACGTAGTGTCGCTTTGGAACAGGCCTACGTACACGATGTCTACGAGCAATTTTATGACAACCCTCGTAGCAAACCGTGGCCGAAAATACGAAACTTTCTCGAGGACCTAGAACCAGGATCTCTGATCTGTGACGTTGGTCAGTAAAGTTCTGCTGTGTTAGTTCGTATAAAGTCTCCATTTTCCTAAAATACCGTTTGATTGCAGGCTGTGGAAACGGAAAATATTTGAACATAAATACGTCAATTTTTAACATAGGAGGGGAGAAATCGACTAGACTGGGCAAACTAGCGCGAGAAAAGGAAAATGAGGTGCGTTTCGAAATTCATATACAATAGATTAATTACGTTGTACCCCAAATACACTGAACCACTTCTTCCCCCCCCCCCCAAGTTCAAATTCTAGAATAATGACGAATGTTCGTCCACTTTGGTCGACGTATTTGTTAAAGTCTATTCCAGAAAGGTGTAGAGTAAATTGAAAATTATTTTTTTTATTTTCTGCTGTATTTTCCACGACTGAATGTTTTTGTAAATTTGCTATTTGTTATAGTTCTTTTTTTAAAACAAATTATCGTCAAATTTAGTATTTTTGGATATTAACCAGTCAATAATTTCTTCTCCAAGATGACGGTAGAGTTTTCACCAAACTACTTTGTACGACTGGCACGACTAAAAGGTTAGCAAACCTTGTTGTAAATATCCCATTCACTTCCAATATGGATAATTAGTATCTCCTCTTTTCCCGAAGGCACCTTAACAATCGTTATATTCTTGTCCTGTCACATTCTTGGTACTGTATTGCTTTGTACTTCTCAGTGCTCATGCCTTTTCCTTGAAAAATCCATATTTTTAAAATGGCCTAGAAAAGTGTTTTCGTTATTAACGGAGTACCCATTATATTTCCTTTTTTAAATAAATAGAGCGACCTTTTATGGGAGGTCCCACTTGACCTATTGTCTTTCTCTCTTGCAATACTTTGAAAATTGCGGTATTTTATAAAATCATGTACATTTAAAATAATAACTTTTTCACTTACCAGTACACTAGGGAACTTAACTGGGCGGATTAATAATGGGGCATATGTTTTTCATGAAACGCAAATTCGCTATTTTTCTTCAGGTTATCGAATTAGATAATTTGTCGTTGCCGTTTCGCGATGAAAGCTTAGACGCTGTCATATCCATATCAGTAGTACATCATTTGGCAACAACGGAAAGACGAGTATGTGCTCTACGGGAATTAGCCAGGGTCCTACGTATAGGAGGTCGCTTAATTATCACGGTTTGGGCTATGGAACAAAGTCACAGGAAATTCGAATCCCAAGACGTGTTGGTACCGTGGCGCAAACCCAAACACATAAGCACGCCTTCTTTGGAATTAACGTCGACCACAAACACTTCAGAGGATGACGGACTCCCGCCATATCACGCGTATACTCAGACATCCGATAGTGATTCTAGTAAATCGTTCAGGTTGCCTGTCCAAGTGTCGGAGAGGACTTTTGTACTTACTCGACGGTTTTCGCAGGTCTAAACTGATGTTGCCCAAAAAGAGACGAGGCAACCATCATCGGAAGGGTCGTTCAATAGATCCCGGTCGAAGTTCATCTCCCAGCAGTTCTTCGTTGTCGTCTCCCAACGAAACCTGTTACAGTTTTGTTAGAAGGGCGATTCAGAAACTGGCGGGTGGGGGAAGAAGAGTTGCGTCCCACAGACCTTGGTTTTTGGAAAGCTGGACCACTTGTGCCAATAGACAACCACCACAGAAACGGTTTGTTAATTAATTTAGCTTTTGCGCTTAGAATTCCGTTTAGTGGAGCACAAGTTGAACTACAATCGCCCAGTACCATTCGCCAAAAAAAAATTCCAACTCATGTCAAACACTGGTTGATTCATCAAAAGAGTATATTAAAATTAAAATTGTTTTAGTGGCAAACCTACTCAAAGGATCACAGTTTGACCATGTACTTAATTGCATCTTTAATAACTTCAGAGGCCAATCAAATCAAATGGAATTTTATTACCCTTTATGCTTGATAAAAATAAAATGTAAAATAAAATAGGTCTTGTAGAAATTAATAGAGATCAGTATAGATTTGATTAAATTAGATATACTATGATACTTTATAATTACTATCTCTATTTTAGGTACGATCCGGATGGATGTGAGTGTTGCGAGTGTTGTGCCGAAAATATCCAAGATTTGCCTATAGAATTACGACGTATTGATGACGATGAACCATCTCAACCACCACGTCGTCAAACGTTTCCGGCTTCCCAGTTAGCAGCAGACATCGGCAGCCTTAAATCAAAAAGTATGACTAACATCAAAACTGCCCACGAAAATAACAACAACATAGAGTAAGATAACTCTTACGTAAGGATTTATATGTTTACAGTACTTTTTTAGAAACTATTTAAGAACGCAAAAGGATGGCGAAAAGAACCGTATCAGCTCACCAGACCATTTAGACGAAACGACACCGAAAAACACACTAATGAAGCCAAAGCTGGTGAAGCAGAAAAAGTCGGTTTGTGAAGAAGATGCGGACGAAGCTTTGGATCAACCTACAGATATGAAAAATTTGATCACCGCCCTCCCCGACTTCAAAATTTTTCATAACAGGTAATCAGCACCCGGATTTTTGCGGATAAACTTACAGTTAATTAGTGAGGGAGAGAGAGTTGAATGGAAATTGCCATAAGTGCTTTGTATCAATGTATATAAAATAAGCCCTATTTTTGACTCATAAATATGCCATTAAATTAAATGATTTCAATTTTGCAACACCTCGCGTAACTTAATTGATTGCGTTTTAAGGTACTCCCGAGTTGGCGTTTTGAAGCAGAGGTCCCTTAACGAAGATATTTTATCAACTGAAAGACTGAGAGAGAAAGAAAGACTTAAAAAGAATATTCAGAAGCAGACGTCATTAAATGAGGATCTTATTTATCAGAGATCGCGTACTTTCGAATCCATAAAGGATTCTTTCTTTTCGGTTTCAACTTCGAAGAAATTTCAACTAATCAAAAGCGGTTTGACAAACAAAATAAAAAATTCTACCAACATGGAAAAAGTTACCAGTACCTCGTTGAAAAACGGTAAGCTGCATTGAACAAATGCGAATCGTAGTCACGTAAGTTGTGATATATGTTTTTCCTAAATCAGGTTTCGTGCGGATGTTTCAAAACTGGAAGAGCACCGAGTTGGTATCGCCAACGCTCGACGAGGACGAGCCTGCAGAAAATACCAAGAAAGTTCTACCACAGATGGAAGAAAAGAAAGACAACGCGACCGAATCCACCGAAAGGTAAATGATATATTTAATTATTTATTATTAAGCCCGATGGGCATGATACCATTTCTACATGAAAATATTGCAACGGGTTAGAATTGTAAGAACTTTGGGACAAAAAAATTGCAGTTTTTCTTTCATGCAAATGAAATTAGTATTTATGGCGTAAACATAGGCAACATAGGCGCAAAGCGCAAAATAATTAATAATAATAAAATGATAAAGAAATTAATTTAGTTTCACTTTTACAAAACTATGGGATAGTGAATAACTGGCCGGAAAAATTTAATTGGAAAAAATGTTCAAGAAGCAACTGTAGAGGCCTACGTTGTGGAAATCGATTGCGATCTGATCTTGGGCTTATTATATAGAGAAAGTATTATTCTGTTATTTCGTTCACTTAACTCTTATGCCCCGATGCCTTCTCCTAGATAGTATGCCCATTTGCTAAATGTTATTATGAATGATGTCAAAGGAATTGTTTAAGAAAATCTTCATTTGAAGATAACCTAAATTCACTCTAAAAGTACGAGAATTTCCCAGAAATTAATTTTATGCAATACAAACATTGGTATAATTAATATATTTGATTTTGTTCAGCACTTTAAACGATAAATATCTCCGCTTTAAGTTTTGGGAATATGTTATACATAAAATTTAGTTATAACTACGTTTCTTAACTTCCGTAGACATGATGGAATTTGTACATGTAGTCTTATCAGATAAACATTGCTTTCAGAAATGCATGTATGGTAGTTTTTTGGTGGTAGACAAGATTGATTGATTATTTTGGTGAAACTTTCTTTATTAAATTGCTAACATTGTAATTAAATGTAATAGTAAATTAAATAGAATCCAATATCCTATAAATTGTAATGTTTTTTGTGTTCTTGAAAACTAATTTCCGTGTAATTAACATATATAAAGGACTAATTGCAACAAAGAGTTTATTAACTTGTTTTATAAAAGTTTTTAATTTTTTCGGTTACATTGCAATGATAAATATATTTTCCGTTAGCATTATTCATAATAATATTTAGGAGACAAAACTTTCATCAGCCTTGAATCTGCCAAATGTCTTGCAATTTTGTAAAAGACACTTTTCGATATGCAATATTCATATAAAAATTTACTGGGCTTTAAGAATGAAAAAAAAAGATTACTCTGTACACTGACCTTTTCGTTACGTGATAGAGACCGTAACGTTATAAACAATTTTCTTAAAATATCCCATCATGTCAAAACCTCATCCGCTTATAAAATTCTTCGAAAATCTAGTTGCTCTTTTTAAATTTATATTACCCGTAATGAAATAGGCCAAATCAACAAGACTCTTCTGTCTCTACATCTTGAAATTGCTTCCATCTCGTCCCCATCAGAGTTCGATAACTTTTCAAATACGATTCATGACAAAGCTATAAATCTTCGTTTATCTTCTGCTCAAAATCACATTTAGAAATTTGAAAAACTAACGTCAACACTAGTGAAACCATCAAACTCTTCTCAACTATCAAACACTGTGATCAATGTATCATCGCAACAACTTTCGGAAACGGAAAAATCAGTTCTTTCAAAAGGTTGAAAAATCAAAATGAATTGAAAAATCAAAACCTCCTAAATCTAATATTTCAAAGCGTGAACACATTGCCCTAAAATCTCTAAAATTTAATCCCGACATCGTAATCCTAACAGCAGATAAAGGAAATGCTACGGTGGTCATGAACACAAATTAATATTAGGAAAACATTGAAGATATTCTTACAGACGGTTCATATCGTCAACTTAAAAAAGATCCTACGTCATCTATGGAACGCAACCTTTAATCTTGGTGAAAAAGTCTGACTCTAAAATTCCTCGTCTCTACGGACTCCCGAAAATTCACAAAGCAGGATTATCCCTTCGACCTATTGACAGCACCATTGCTTCTCCAACTTATTCTCTAGCAACATATCTAGCTTCTTAATGAAAACCCTTTACAGGGAAACTGATAGTTTCGTACTTAGTTCCTTTCACTTCATTGAACAATTAATAAGCATTATATTAGTTACTTTAGATTAGATAATCAGATCTAACATTGGGTCTTTGTGTTTACAGAAAACTACGCACACAGACCGATACCTTAATGCATTGTCACATCACCATCCGGCATAAAAATCATTGGTCATCTCTCTCTCTCTCTCTCTCTCTCTCTCTCTCTCTCTCTCTCTCTCTCTCTCTCTCTCTCTCTTGTTTACAGAGCCGTAAAATTATCTCAGCCCGAGAGATTGAATCCAGATTTAAAACACCCTACCTGTGCTCTACTCTCTAATAATTTCCACATTAAAGATATCAAGCGTTCCATCACAAAATATACTTCAACGCAACTTTCCAATAGCAATGAGGCCGAAGGTAATCCTTCACTTGCTACTGTTGTCCTTGCTTACATTCAAAACATCACTGACTACTTATGAAAAGTTCTAAAGAAATATAACGTCAAAACCAGATTTACCACTTGTCCAAAAATCTTTCAACAACTTCGATCCGTCAAAGACAAAATTTCATTTGAGATGTCAGGAGTTTACTCTATGCATATGCGACATGTAGTACATTGAAGGGACCGGACGAAAAAATCAAATCGGCTCAAAGAACATGAAAGAGCCTTAAGACAAATAAACTCATCAGCAGTGGCCGAACACAATCACGCAACCGGACATAAAATTTTATTCGATAAAACTAAAATTCTTGCATGTAATCAATTCTTCTACCAACGAAAAATCCGAGAGTCTATAGAAATCTATAAGCAACCTAACAATATTAACCGCGACTCAGGTCATCGGAATCAGTCATCGGACACGATGTTTATGTCCCTAATTTAGCTCCGCCCCCCTCAAACAATATACAAACAGGTATAGAGTACAGTTTTAGTTAAGCTCTGAAGAAGCCAACAGGATGATTGGCGAAACGTTAGCAAGTTCGACAAAAACCGACGCAGGGAGAATCCAGGAGTTTTGTAAAAAGTAAAAAAAAAACCTTTATTAAAAAGAAAATTCCACTAAAATATGATAGAATTCTTGCTGCAGTTGTTCTTTTAAGAACAATAAAATATAGACATTGTATCACTTTAGCTTTAGCATTAGATATAGGCAGTTTCCACAGTCACGTCGTAAACGCTTTTTTGTTATCAGGCGACCTTCCAAAGAAGACGGTTCCGACTCATCGAAAGACAGCAGTCTTCAGTCCGATACGAGTGTAGATTCGGAGGATTCGTTTGCGTCGGTGATCTTTGTTCCCAAATCCGACCCAATGTCCCCTGCCGGCGGTTTTCAATCTCCTGGACCTGTTTCTCCGCATTTCAAGACTTCTTGCTCATCCGCTCCCCAGTCTCCCAGGATTAAACAATCGTCTTGTCCTACGAGTCCCAGAATTAAACAAACGCCCCTTACTGTATACTCGCTGACCAAACAGCTCAGTTCGCCTAAGGTGAGTATAATATTCGTTAGAAACCAAAATATGTTAAAAATAAGAAAATCGACGAGGTTTGAAAACGCCATTGCCCACATTGGCCGGATGCGGTAACAACACGGCAGTAACTCCAAATCTGATTTCACCTAAAAGTGCAATTTTAAATTGCTAGGACTCCAAACATCTGGTTGGTGATGAATGCAAATTTACCCACCACTACCGTTTTCACAGAGAGACGTCAAAACGATGAAAATATTTTGTAGACAATAATTTCCTGTTTCCTGCGTCGGTTGTTTATAAATCAAACTTGCTGACGTGTCGCCAATCATTCTCTTGGCTTCTTTAAAGCTTAACTGTTAATAAGCTTGCTATGCACAGCTTTCACCGATTTTGTCAAATTCCTAATAAACAGATACACAATTACACATACGGATACACATTAATCCTCTTAGAAATACATATGGGACTTTAAAAGATTATTCTTGTTCTATATAATACGAGTATAATCTTTTAAAATTCCATACAAAGAACAACAAAATATCCATAGTAGTATGTACAAAATTTTATTTTAATATCATGGAAGATTTTTTTTTTGTGTAAAACTTCATATTTTTATCTAGTTATTTTTATTTGCCGTATATAACAATAAGTATTTTCTTTTTAAATTAATGCATATGAATAAATGCCATTTTTTGTCACAGTTTCGTGAAATATCAACATACAACAAATAAAAACATTGCGACTCGAAGTTAATGCTTCGTGACGTCAGTGCTCGTATTAATTTGCGTCTGTTCTGTTTACGGACATCGTCTCGTGTATTTGCCAAATAAAAAAATGGTTTAATGCGAAATGAAGAAGTTTACAAATACACACTGAGTAATACTGCAGCTCGTATGAGACCCGAACAAGCAGAAGAACATCTTTAATAATCACTGAAACTGAAAACTTTGATTGATGAGAAGTCAGCCAAATACCATTGTGATCTCCGAAAATTGACACAGGTTTTATGTTTAGATTTTGCGCACAATAGAACAAACAATACTTTAACTCAACTTAACGAATAACAATAATTAATATTTGATTTATTATTTTATTATTTCGACTCTTTGAACCATTCTCTGTGGATTTTTCCATAATTCGTTAGAATTGTTTGGTCTAAAGTTCATTTTATATTTTTCTATTACAATTAGGTCCAAATATTCTCTATGGGATTAATATTGCGACTGTAAGCGTGGCCATGGTAGGGCTTTGGTATTTTTACGACGAACGCATTCCCTCATAGCATAAGCGTTATGGACCGGGCAGTTATATTGAAAGACGAATGAATTTAGATACATATTAGTCCCACAGATGGGAGTATAGTCCATCAGCATTTATCCAACCTTATAATTCCGATTATTGATTTCACAGCTACGTGTTTTTTTTAAGTCTTTGACTCTTCTGCTAGCTGTAGATTGCGACCCAGAAAATCCTTGCAGATTTTAAAGGATAGATATTCTAGAAATCTTGTGTTGGGACGGAGTTGAGTTAAGGAGGAGTACCAACTTTTCTTCTCAAAGACCTCTTTTAAATCGAACGTTGCTTGCTTTTGAAATAGTGTTTTTGCTGCGGTAAAATGCAGTGTTCGACTTTTCATGCAAATCCAGTACATCGTAGTAGTAAAGCAGTTCAGGCACAACCAAAAAAGAGGATAGAAAATGTTTCAACATGAAATTTTTGATGGAATTCGAAGCAATAATTAAAAAATGTCTTAGGTTTCATAATGTGGAAAGAGTTGCGATATCAAATGGCCACTTGTGTACCTGCTAGCTGGCTGAGAGATTTCGATATGTGCGCTGACGTCATGACCAATGAGAGCGCGTTTAACAAATTTAAAGGAATAAGCACATTTCTTTCCATTTTTTTTTCGCTAAAGCTGACGCATTAAAGTAATTTTATTATTAATACTATTTTTGAATATTTTACTATAATGTGACCAAATTTCTTTTTTTTTTTCGATTAGCCATCGACGGAATCGCTGTCCGTTGCATTTTTCCCTGTCATCGAGAAAGAAAGCTCGGCGTTAGTTCCGGCGCAAAGGAACGGCAACAGAAACGGCAACTCTGGAAGTTTGGCGGAAAAATATTCCGTGCAACAAATACCCAAATTTAAAAGGACCAGTTTGAATACTCCTAGTTTAAATGCCAGTGAGTTTTGCAGTGTTAAAGTCTCTTCTATAGTTGAGCGTTCGATAACGTTTGTTTTCGAAATAGAAAATTGCGATTCGAACAACTCGACGGCGCCGGACCAATCCGAGAAGTCTCCGGTAGAGGTCGCCCCATCGGCCGAGGCTACCAGGAGCGAGAGACTGAAAAAAATCCGGGAGTTGCTGTCCCAGAAACCTGGTTTCGGAGCCAAGTCGAGCAGGTCGAATTTTCCGATAGTTCTTCAAACGTCCATCAACAACGGCAAGGTATTTTCGACTCTTAGATTTGCTTATAAGAAGTTTACCGATAGTGACGGCTTGTATTCACAGCGTATAATAAATTTTTCGAAAATCCAAAAATTATGACCTCTTAAATTGTACCTACTATTATTTATTGAATATGCCGCTATTTACTTACTTACGTTAAAAGTACCAATCGTGGCCGCAAAATTGGTATTGCGTGGTGGGGTTATGGATACTAAAATGTCTACATTTTCTTTTACATTATAATAAAACTTATATGTAAGTCATTACCTGTTTATCATGGATCCAGGTAAAATTTGACGTAATAAAAAACAATAATGGACCATGGCAACCATACAAATACGAGTTTCAAATGGGAAATTTATTAATACAGCAGTAATAATTGAACAGTGGAAATGTCAAAGGGGGTATGTGGGGTATTTTTTGATGTATTAACATTTTACGTTAGAATTATTGCACTTGCCCCGCCGGATGTTCTGATAACCATTGTTGCTAATTTAAACAGTTTTTCTTGATTATCTCAAAAATGTAATTTTGGAACATACCCCTTTGGCAGAAAAAACATAATACATTAAAATATATTTTATTGATCTCTCCATGTAATCAATTTTTGTTAATACATTTAAAATTTGTGTTGATTTGAGCGTGAAATATATTCTAACTTTTAAATATAACCTTAAAAATTTGTGATATGGTTGTTTTTACAATTTAAATACGCTGGGTGCCTCTCAAGTGAATAATAATAATAATTGGCGAACTTGGCAGGGAAACGGTTCCAAGTTCCAAGTTTGTGCAAGCAAATAAACCCTCAAAAAGTTCCTTTACCTGCCTTACCTTTTTACCTACCTCTCACTTTGTTTAGGAAATAAAAAAAACCATTTTTTTTTATTATGTAGATTATTGGGGCAGCTTTTAACAGCACAAACATTTCCTAATTTTCAGTGACTTACGTTAACGGATAATTAAGAAATTGTTCGTATTTGAATTTATGTGCTAATTTATAAAAATAACTATATAGAATAGCAGAACCATAGCAAAATTTTATAATCTCTACTATTAAATATTACGTTGAACAACATGGCTGACTTCTAGGTGGAATCTATCGCAAAACCGCTTCCACGTCTATTAACCCTAGAACTCTTCAACCCTGAAACGGACGACAAAGATAGCGACTCCAGTTGCGTATCTTCACCAGACTCGATAGACAGCGTCATCAGCGTGCGGTCCTCCGGGCAAAAATGTTCCCCTCCACCGATTTCACGGAACAGTAGATTCCAGTTTCCGCCAGTAAAGAATTACAAAAGCGAAGGTAACTTTAGATGCTGCTTTGTTGTTTTGACGTCTGCCACTACTGCATGTATTGTCACTTTTCAAGCCGAATTCAAGATTAAATGAACGTTAATTGACATTCCATCCCATTGTTCCGATTTTATCGCATTTAGCATTTTGAAAAAATTGTAGATGTCAAAATATAACATTTTTCTATTACCACACATCTATTGGCGTTGGTTTTTTAAACTGCTAAACTTTTATAGGTAAGCCTATGAGTCTTTTGGAGGCTGCTGCGAATGTCGCGAATACCTTGGATGAAGCCGTGGAAAAAGTGATTAAATCTAGTCCAAGGTCCAGGAGGAAATTGCCAACTGGCGACGTGTTTTCCATTTTGCATCGACGCTTTTCTTCTGACACCAGACCGTTACTGGAAGACGACGGCAACTCCAAATCCACGTGGAACGAGGACTGCCACAAGCATTTAACTCAGTTCGCCGATAAACTGAGCGAGAAGTTGCTGAGAGAAATCGATCTCTATCAGGAGAAACATCGATTGACGGTGAGTAAATCATTTTATTTTTTCGCTTTATTTAGAAAATTTTGGATAAGTTTTAAAAACAATAAACATAATCAAATGCGGTAACCAGTGTAATGTCAATCTAAAACAATATTTTCCAAAACACATATTTTGTTAACAACAATACTGGTGATGTACTATTCAAGTTTTAATTTTATGACGTAGTATAGACTTTCAAAGAATCGGTTTTTTAAAAAGGATAAGTGAACTCTTTATTCTACTCTCTACTTCCGATGATCATCAAGTCCATTTTAATAGCATTATTTACCTGCAATTATCCAGGAAATGGCGGAATATTTTTAAAGCAGACCTACGTGAATAGGGAAAAATTCACTAAAGCTTTTTTTGGTCAAACGAAATTTTTCATTCCGTGTATTATCAAAGTATTCTTCTTTGTTGCGGTTTTGCTGTGTTATTTTCTTCTTTATCTTATTGATCAGTTTCGATATCATTTGCGATCTACTAATAAGAGGTTTTTGGTCTCTAGCGGATGAAATGAGAAATTGATACATCCCAGATTTAAATCAACAGAAGTGCTTATGGTGGTTACAAAAGTCATTGAGCGCACATAGCAGCAAAGTAGGAATGACCATATTTTTCTTCAATAATGTTTCTTCTAATATTTGAATCAATAATTTCTATTGAAACCAATTGTTGGGCCATCGAATCTGGAGCATCAGCTACTATGCTGAATCAATATACACAATAGTAGAAAGCAAACTTTAAAAAACGTAACGATGGAAGAAACAAAATAGCTACCAATGGCCTTATGTCTTAAATACGATTAGTTTTAAATGTATAATACAGGTGTGCATGTTCAATTGTTAGGCATTGAATTGTCAACATCTCTATGATAAGGTATTGTTAAAAACTTCCTATCTCTTACATTGCTATTATTGATCTCATACCTAAACACTAATCACTAGCAAATCTGGGTACAGTCTTCATCTAAAGTGCAATCTGCTTCGATTCTCTATCCTAATCCAATCACATTACTTCATCATTCCTAAATTAATCTTTCTTGAACCACATTTAAATTTACATGCAATTATAAACTGTTATAATATTAGATCTACAGGGTGATCCACAATTAAGAGATATTTTAAGAGCATATTTATCACCCAAGAATAAGTTCATACATAATTTATCGAATTTTGAAACGGCGTGCATATCACTACAAGCTGGGATAATAATAAAAAGCGAATAAGAAACGAGGAGCTTAATGCGAATCAATTCTCAAAATTGTTTTGAGTTGTGTCGTAGAGTACGCGCAATTTCAAAATGGGACAGCACGTGGCAATGGCGTGTTTCTATTTTGTGGTCTCATTTGTGCCTGTTTGTTTTATAGGTTTCTGTTGGTTGATTTTTAACATTTTGTAATTGATTATTCTTATTTGTACAAACATGACTCCGATAAAAAATTAGTATGAAAGGGAAAATGTTTGGGATCGATTATGAGAAAAAGTCTCATTCTCAGATTACGTTCACTATAGATGAAAACATTTTTGTTGCAGGGAATTAATATCGACGATCCTTATATCCACCGTCTCAGCGAAGAGCTGCACGATCTGTCCAAATTGAGCGCGGAAATACGGAAGCAAAACGAATATTTGGTTCGTCTGAGTGTTAGTGATAACGCGACGTTTCTTTCTTACCCCAAGTGCTCGAGATGTAAGGCAGTGGCACAGTGCACTTGTAAAACGTCAACCAGCGCCACTGCATGGACCAAAAATCGGACTAAATACGAAGTGCTGGCCAGTTTGGCGGGCGAGAACGAAGACTCGGTGGCGAATGCGCGCGCCGATGACATTCTGCACTGTAGTAGTGACGCGAATAGTAAAAATAACGAAAGGAAATGCGCGGACAGAGTGGCCGGAGAAAGTGAAAATGACTCTAGCGGATCGTCGTCACAGGTCAGCAACGGCGGCAGAACCGGTATTAAAAAAGTTAACTCGTCGGATTCCTGTGATTCTTCAGATAAGGGTGAGTCGGCATTACCAAACTGCAGTAACCTCACTGTGGTTTCACCCTAGGTTAGAGTAAAATCGCAACATATCGGCCGGTATTGGTATACAATACAGTGTACGAAAATGTCTTGATATGCAGCAAATATCTAGTTACGAGTATGGTTAAATGGGGCAAATTTGCTTATGGGCGCGATATTCGGTGTAATCCAAGTAGTACTTTTTCTTGTGATTTCAAATTTATCGATAGAAAATATTCACCTGAAAAAATGAGAGTGGCGTACCATTTTTTTGTTCACAAATATGCATTGTTTCGCGGATGCAAAACAAATCGAACAAAAAAAATGCTTTTTACAAAACTTCTGGACTCCTCCTGCGTCGGTTTTTGCTTAGTCGAAATCGTCAGTTTCAGTCAAGCTCTGAAGAAGCCAACAGGATGATTGGCGAGACGTCAGCAATTTCGACTAAGCAAAAACCGACGCAGGAGGAATCCAGAAGTTTTGTAAAAAGCTATACAGTAGCCTGTGGAAGTTTCTTTGAAAAAAAAAAAAGTTAATAAAGTTCAATGCTTCGTAATTTAGTAACAAATTAAAAATATAATTTTATCCTACTCTAATGGTTAGTGTTTAAAATATGTTAGTGTCTAAATGAATTGAAATGAAAACATATAAATAAAATATATAACCAAAAAAAAAGGGAAATTTCATTCTGATACATTGTCAAAATTAGTTAATTATAAGGAATCAACTAATTCGTCAAAAATATTGTCTAAATTCCATATGCTCACATATTCTTTTATCACATGATCTACGCACTTTTTCTGTTTCTAAAGAGTGATTCAATAAGAGTTTCCACATTACAATCTGACATATTTTTGAAAAGCCACTGTATTTGTTTATTATCATGAGATTTCTAACCTCAAAACATAAACAAAATTAGTCATGGACGACTGAACAACATGTAAAAATTGTGCAAGCCTATTATGAAAATGGTCGATCAAGAAAAAATGCATTTCGGGCTCTACGTGAATTTTTCGGTGCGCAAAATCGACCTTCTGAGAGGACAATTTGGAATGTGGTTCAAAAATTTGAGCAAACTGGATCTGTAACCTCAAAGTTCCTCAACGTGCTCGTGCAGGTCGGTCAGATCAAAATATTGCCATTGTTCGCGAAAGTGTAGCCGAAGATCCAAACACATCGATTCGTCATCGATCGTAGCAAGTGGGCCTTACGTATTCAACCACACAACAAAAGACTTGCATCTACACCCATATAAAGTCCAAATAACTCAGGAGTTGAAACCTCGAGATCATCAACAGCGCCACGTGCTTGCAGAATGGATACGAGAACAAGGGGTTCATTTTTCAACGAAAATCATCTTTAGCGATGAGGCACATTTTCATGCTGGTGGCTTTGTAAACAAACACAATGCTCGTATTTGGGGATTAGAAAATCCAAGAGAGATTGTTCAAAAAGCAATGCATCCTCAAAAAGTGACTGTTTGGTCCGGAGGAATAATTGGCTCTTTTTTTTCGAGGATAATGCGGAGAACGCTGTTACGGTTAATGGTGTTCGCTATCGAAACATGATATCTGATTTTTTCTGGGAGCAGTTGGAAGGTATGGACATTGAAGATTTGTGGTTCCAATAGGATGGAGCCACTTGTCACACATCCAGAGAAACGGTGCAATTGCTGCGGGGCAAGTTTCCTGGTCGGAGATTATCTCACGTAATGGCGATATCAAGTGGCCGCCGCGATCATGTGATCTTAAACCCCTAGATTTTTTTTTTTGGGTCATCTAAAAAGCAGAGTGTATAGAAATAAACCAAACACTATTCCAGAGCTGAAACAGGAGATTAGACGCGAAATAGCCGGCATAGAACCTGAATTGTGTCAAAAAGTTATAGGAAATTTCAATAAACGAATTACGTCATGCCACATGAATCGTGGGGGTCATTTGAATGACATAATCTTTCATACCTAATTGTAATACACTAATCTAAAATGGCAAATAAAAATGTTTGTATATTTTTATATTCTTCCGAGATTTTTTTATTATTTTAATGTGGAAACCCTTATTGAATCACGCTTTATATATTGACATTTAATAACGCTTCATGAAATAATTTGTTTACTTCCTATAATTTAAAACTTTTATTTTTCCTCGCTGCTTTTCCTTTTACCTCGTGCCGTAACAGCTCAATTGGGTTAAGCTGGCAGTGCAAACTTGTTTTCGCTATTTCATCTACTACACATTTTTTAAATTTGTTTTTAATGCCGGTTGGCAAGTACAGTCAGTTCATTTTTTAAGGCACTTGAACGTGTATAATTTCTAGAACAAAATTGTGCTTTTCCAGTACTATTTATTACATTTCCACTCGGGTATAGGATTATCATTTATTTAAAACATTCTTCAAATTCTTCTTCAAAGTGGTAATCACCGGTTTTGTTTTTCTTGAATTAAAGTTAGATTATCCAGTATAAGGTAGTTCTTTATTAAAAAGAAAAGTGTCTACCTTACGTCCTAATCTTGTTTCCCCAAAGAATTGTCTAGCTCAAAGTTTGGTCGGCCTGGGGAGACTGAAATTTTTGATTTTGCAACATCAAGAGTCTCTGCAGTACGTGCCACATTACAATCAACAATTTGAAATACGTTTTTCATTTTAATAGTATTATAACAATTAAGAATATATTTTTATTACATTTGAACATATTGGACCATTTTATGATCTTTATGTGGTTTCTATAGATGTTTCTTAACTGAAGATGACTTGACCAATTTACTAAATAATTGAATACAAAATAGTTTGTTAGGAGTTATATGGAATATGTATTTCAGTACCTGTATTAGGTTCTTCAATTTTTCTAACCAAGTAGGTTCTTAAGTTTTATTACCGAAAGACCAAAACCACTCAAATGTGATACTTTTGTGTACATTATAATAATTAAATAACTGACCTCCGTTATTACTTTTATTTTTCTAAGTTACTATAAACAAACACATAGCTTGTATGCGTTTGCGACTACAATTTTGAATTATTTATTGTCATCTGTATTCAAAAGATGGAATAAGACATAATTTCATATAATTCTTTTTTTTTTAATGGACTGGAGAATTACCCCTTCAGTGCCGACACATCTTTAAGAACATTTTGTGTATCAGCTTAGTGATATCTACCCTCCTCATAATGTCCCTTAGGTAGTAGCACAAATTCGGTGGTGTCTAGCGTCACGACATCCATCAATTTAGGACCTTCCGTGGATTCTTCGACGGGCGACTTATCCGCCGAATCGTTACACTCCAAAGAGGGCGGTAGCGGCGTCAGTAGCGCCAACTGTGGCAGCACTGCCTCTCTGGTCTCGCTGGAATCGCGATTAAACCCGACTTTCAAGAATCGCTTAGAGGGGTCGCCGGAAACGTTGGCCAAGTCAGCTCTCAAGAGACGCGACAGGTCCACGCTGAGTGATGCGTCACAAGATTCCTTACCCTCCGACAACGTTGGAGGCGAAATCACCTATCACAGGTACTACCGTAAAACGATATATCTATGGGTACTACGATATAGCTATTAGATAATATAGTAGTCCTACGGCACTGCGTGCTGCATTGATATTGTCGTAGAGAAGGCAATGATTTTTCTGCGCGTGCCTCTACATTCCTCCCATGACCTGCAAATTGGACCAATCAAGGCATATTTTGAGAAAATACTGCATCAAAACTTATTGATGATCTGTCAGCGGTCATGTTGATTGTTGAATGCCGCAAGGTCTTTCGTTAAAAACAAAATTTTATATTTCGCGCATGCGCCCTTTGAATGGACATTCTCAAATTTTTTTTAGAGTTGCTCTATATCTCTAGTAGCTATATGGGAACTACAAAAATTATTTGCCAAAAAGAAACGAAAAATGGACACACTGTATATGCATTTTAATCGCAAAATTATCTGCCCTTACGTAGGTACTACCATGTGTTCCGCGAAGGTGAATTGGACCAGCTGATAGAGAAGTACGTCGAAAATCTACATATAATATCGTCGTACTATGACCACGCAAGCTGGTGCATCGTCGCCGAAAAAGTCCAAGTTTGGACCATCTGACCGGCATCGTTTTTGCCGAAACGTCGCACAATGTACATACTATTACAGTTAAATCTCGCCCCCCATTAAAATGTTAAAAAGTTTCGTTTTCTTAGGTACATTGTAATTGCGGACACGCGTTTTATTGTTTTAGCTTTGGGAATGTCTTTAGGGAGGATTCAAAAACAGTATCAAATCCTTGATATCAAAATTATTAATTTTGTTGATAAATGACCACAAATGTCGGAAGCTGACGAAACTATCTTTCGGTTAATTTATTGATTTACGAAATTCGCGTAAAGTGTCAAAAAATAGACCCGTAAGTTTCTAAAACCAATAGATGAAATGTTACAAATATTTGAAATCAGAAAAAAATATGTTGAACAATTTGAATCCATTACTTTCCACAAAACAGATTTACGGTCCATAAAAAAACATCAACCATTTATTGACACTTAACCCAAATAAACCCAATTACAAAAGTAACTGGACGGCTACACAGTGGAGTAAATCTTATCAAAGTCTACCAAAAATTCTGAAAAATATCTTATACCTTGGCTTATTTTTTTTGCATCCTGAAAGGTGTTTAAAGTGCATTATAATGCTTAGTAGTAAATAGAAATATTAATTACTGTCCTCAATAAAAAAAATTCCTTCCTTGAAATTACATTTGTTGGAGACAAATTAAACTCATAAAAAAAGAAACGCAAGAGAACCTTTTGCTGCAGGACACTATAAACTTTAACAAACTTAACGAGTTGTGTGCAGAAAATAAACTATTTTTTCAACTCCCTTCTGTAAAATACCTAATTATACACCGATCTAGGGTGTGCAAAGTGTCACATTACCACGTCAGTTTCTTGTCCCACGGATCCGAGTCACTTTGGGCATTTCCGGGATATGGGTGCAATGGAATGTTTTCGGACCTCTCGTGCCAAATAAACTCGACCCAAATGCCGTTTTGCATAATATACTAAAAATAGCGTTTTTCATGGGCTACATACTATAGACGAATAGGTAACTAATTGTTTTGATAAATATATGATGTTTCTATTAGAATCACGCAGATTTGCATTTTTTTTGTTGCAGAATACCAGTAAAATACAACATTAAAATTGTTTTGTATAACAGTAATTCAAGCTTTTATATTTATTTTTATTATTTTTATTTATATTATTGTATTTTATATTTGTTTTATCCTTAAAGCTACTGAATATAAATGCTTATAATATTTTTGAACCGACAACAACAAAAACATGTTCAAAATGGCCATTCAATATGTGCATGCGCATTTTAAAGTTCTGTTTCAACCAATTATACTCAATTCAATAATTTCAAACGAACCAATCCTAATGACGTTCAACAACCAACACGGCCGCTGACAGTTCGTTGCGTGAAAAATGCGGTGGTTATTATTTTTGCTAATTAACTAAAATTTTTGGTTTTTGGTAAGTTTTACCTAATGGCTCCTCTGTGCACCATTACTGCAGGTTTCAGTTTCGTCAGTTGACAAACCGTTTTTGAATATAACTGGTAAATGTTGTCACTGAACATTAACAACGACAAGATGGGACACTCAGTTTTTCTATGGTTGTGCTTAGATTCAACAATTTGATAAAACCGGTCTTTAAATAATAGCGTCTTTGATCATTACCCTCAGAGCATTCTGCAAAAAAATTGCTAGATATTTGCGTGTTCTAGTTATTGGGGATTGCTTCTAGAATTGATCTGTCAAGGTATAACCCAAAAAATTTAAAGCGAACCAGTTGTGTTCGTATGAAAGATACTTTGATGAGTCTCATTGAGGAGTGCGAAGAAGGGACCACTTGCTTAACAATATGTAATATTTTGTGGCGTGATTTCTAGCTGCTACCGAGACTAGAGACTTCTTTCGCTGTTAATATTTGGTGACGTTGTCCTGTGATGCGACACCCACGAAATTGCTTTTTGTCGGCATATCAAAAAATATTTGTGTCCAATCTAAAAATTAATTAATGTTCTTTGCTGACGGCGTCACGCAATTGGAAAACTTTTAACGTGCTATTTTATGGAAACCTTTGGGGCTAATTTTTCATCCTTTAGTAACGGATTTAATCCTGATTAATGAATACGATAGACAAGAAAGGTTACTATCTGTCTCAGCTATATGGTTACATTGACGGTAGGTCTTGAATTCTAATTCCAGTATATTGTGTGTTTACCTGTTATTCCGAGTAGCTGTGAACATTTGATCTAAGGGTTACGATTTACTACAGCCTGTACACAAGCTTGTCACCAAGGGTCGCAAAGGTGGCAAGGATGTGACCATTAAGTTAATATTCGCAAATTATTGAAACAATTCCTAAAAATGTTGCGTGTAGGCTATTATTTTCCAGTGGCGTGACGTATATCTTTAAACAATTTTGTAAAACAGAAAATATTAAACTTTAATCGCCTAAACTAAACATTAGTCGTGAACGGTAAGCTAGGAAAATATGAAGTGAAAATAAGAAAAAAAAATGTTTCTTGCCGAAATTTTTTAACCTATAATATTTTAAGCTCAAAAAGTTCTACTTAGCGCATGTTTTTTTGTGACCCTAGAGGATAGCTAAAAAAAGTTAGTTATATTTTTTATACAAAAACGAAAACTATATCTATCATGTAATTTATAGAATATATGTTTAATGGACGCGGTGCTGTTATTACAAAATGTCATACGTCGGACATGCAATACAACACTTATCTTCAATCCATATTTACCTCTGTATAGGTAGGTAAAACATGAGGTAGATAGTTCGAAAAGTGAATATTAGTTTTTATGTTTTTCCTAAAGGACCATAACAGTTCTTTTGATCGTTATCAGCTACTAATAATAAAAAAAATGACAATATATACATAAGCAACACATTAGTTTTTGCGCCATCTATAGTACAGCAATAATTGAAAAAAAATCGTAGCTTGTTTTTGCGAAAATTCAAAATTTGCATTAAACAATGGGGTTGCCATACAAGATTGGCATCGGATTAGCGTCTTTTGAGAGGTTTTTAAACACCGAAAATATTTTATTTTTTCAGTCAGTTTTGTAATAACAGCAAACCAACCGAAGTTGCTCTAGAATTTTATCATGCGCAAACGACATTGGCAGAAAAAGTATTTTCCTAATGGAAAAAACAAATAGAAACAGTAAACAAAGTTTGTAAAATTTTAAGCAGTTCGAAAGAAAACGATCATTTCATCAATCAGTTGCCAGTTATATATAATTAGATTTACTACAGCGTTTATGTATATTAGCTTAAACTTCTACTAAAATGGTTTTTAAATTAACCGATGCAAATTGCATTCTAGACCATATTGCAAACTTCTGAATTCAGGTGGTATTTACTGTGTTTCCTATGACGATTTATTTAAAAAGTTTCCTCCGATTTTTTTTTGGTACAAAGTCAGCTGAGCCTATCTGTCTAAATCCTGAATGTTTATTTAGCGCCTTTTCATCTGTATCCGCTTTCAATTCGGGATGTTTGATTTTGTGTCAATCAATTTACTTATAATTTTTAATACATAAAAGTATTAAACTTGTGCCTGTCTTATAAAGTTTTTTATACTTATAGAAGTCAACGAATATTTGGTGTAACAAATATTTCATTCTATAAATTTTAAATCTACAAGTTTGCAACTACCTTGTTGTGTTTAATAAAATTATACTCAAGTGTTGAATCTGTTTTTTTCTTCCAACCTTTTTATTTGCTAATTTTGTTGAAGAAAGCTTTCCGCGGCTATTTCTACATCTGTTTTTGTGTAAATTGACTGAATGATTCTGACAGACATAATAGAAAAAGAAGATGCTGTATATCCTGAAAAGAGGATTCGCGACGGAACCATTGCACATGACGGACGTTGCTCCTGTCCAGTTCCATAAAATGTAGAAATCGATTGAAATTAGTGTCGTTTGATTTAAAATAGTGTTTTGTATATTTGTTATCTGAAGTGATAGAGGCGCAGTGCCTATAAATTTGGGAAATAGTTTTTGCTTTAAGCGGATGTAAATGGATTTGTGATATGTTATTGTATTATGTGTTTGTTAATACGGTTTTCGGGTGTCTTATATTCACGATGGTTACTTAGCCAGATAATTATTTAGAAACTGAGTCCCTTTCATTACGAATGATTTTTTGTCTATAGTTACCTGCTGTAAGCTGGTCGAATGAGCTTATGTAAACTTGGACATAAGAAGTAAATTAGTTAACTAACTTACCTAAAGGAGAGAATTCGGTCGTGAGCATTGCACATGGCGGTTTAACCTCCGTTCGCTCCTGACAGAATCCATTGTAATCGTCCCCCAAAATCTTGCAATCGGTTTCCACAGTGTGGATTTAGTGTTCTTAGTGTTTAGTGTATGTTTTAAAGTGCCTAATCGTTGTCGGGTCCGCTGTTTTTGCCCGTTCACGCCGGTGTAGAGGCCGGATGGGTTCGGTTGGCCCGCGGGGGTAAGCTCATCCGCTTACCCCGCGGGCCGTTTTTTGTTATCGGTCAAAGTTTTTTGCATAACGTTCATAATTGTTGTTTTCGTTCCCCTCGGAGTAGAGTTGTGTCAATCGCGCTTGATTCGGTCACTTTGATTCAAGCACTTCGTAGAATCGAACGACCAATCCCGTTTGTTCGTAACGATTGGATCACCTTGTTCGCTCTCGCTGCCTCCATGACCGGTCTGAGACCAAGTACAGGACGATCCATCGACCGTCCGTACCAATGGTTTAAGATTTAAACGCATGACTGAGACAGGCCACGGGAAAGGAATGGAAGTATTATTATAATTATACTATAGTATTGAGTTGCGACATCGATTGGTAGATTTCATTATGTATTGAATTGAGTATTAAATGTATTTCCACACAGGTATTTAATTTAAACAAATTGATGTATTACTGGTACAACCCAATACATCATGATTCAATAAAAAGCAGAACTCAGCTAAATATTATACTAACTAAAACAGTAAACATAACATATGGACACAATAATAATTCAATTTCAAAAGAATCTGAATCACTCGTTCGGACTGTTCGGATTCAGTGACTAAAGCCCCTTATGTTGGCACCAAAAAGTATTGAAATGAACGATTGATTGAAATGATTCGGTCCTCGTAAAATGAACGATTGCCACAACACTACCTCGGAGGGTGATGGATCCGTCCAGTCCTTGTTAATTAAAGCTCCTTCCAGAATTATAAAGAAAGTGTCGAACTATTATTGTAAATGGTCGAGTGATCGTAGTAATCGTGTCCAATAGAAGTAAAGAAGAAGAGAACTAAAATTTGACATTAAATCTATTATTGTCATTGTCATGTTAAGTTTTTTCTAAATTTTCGAAAGTTGATACATCATGGATAACTGTACACAAAAAGAAGATTTTCTTATTCAAATAAGAGATAAATTGCGTAAAGATGGTGTAAAATTATGGCAGTTTCCTTATTACATTGAAACAATGGGTGTTTCCGATATTGATATAAAGGTAAGCAGAGCATAGCTGGAAAAACACTGCTTTTTATATTAAAAAAATAAAATTTTAGAATTTAGCGGAACAGTTTGGGAGCGTACTTGAAATTCCATTCGAAACATGTCTTCAAATCATTCAGGAATTACAAATTAATTCCTTGGAAAATCTAAAACACATAAATCGTTTTCACGAGTCTGGTCTTGCAACATTGAAAATCAAAGTTTTGAGATTGGGAACTCCGTTAATGCTCACCATAGAACTCATGTTAACCAGTAGAGTACTTGAGTTGAAAGAAAGGATTTCTCAACATGTATCAACTCCAAGTGAGAGGTGGAATATTTTTCATCTCAAATTAAGTACCCCAGTGACCAACTTTCTATCTTGTAGGATTAAGTTAATTTCAGCAGGTAAAGTTCTTAACAATTCTGATAATTTGATTAATCAGGGTATAAAGAATGGGCATCAACTGTTAGCAGTAACCCTTGACAGCACACCAAGTCAAGTAATGGAAAATGAAAATAAAATTAAACAGTTGGAAAACATTAAAAAAGATTCTCAGATGCTTGCCTTAGATGATGATTATATGGGGGTAAGTCATCTCTACTTTTGACAGTATTGGTAAGTAACAAAAAGGTTTTAGTTGGAGGATCAGTATGGTAATTCCATTAAAATACCAGAACATGAAAAAGAATCTTTAATAATAGCAATGACATTACATGAAAAGGGTAGATCAGTACTAAAAAGGGAGGATTATTCAACAGCTCTGATTTTGTTCTTAGAGGCTGATCATCACTTTAGGTAAAACAACAAGTTAATCCATTAAATAAAATTAAAATACTTCTAACTAATACCCACACAATGGTAATGTTGAGTTTTTTAGGAATTGCAATTCATCATTATTAAATGCTGTTGATAACTATGCACTTCTGGATTTGGATATTGCATGGTGTTATTTGTGCCTTCAAAGTTTAACTCATCTTCCAGAAGCTTATGACAGATTACAGAGGTGTGAGCAGAAACTTAATGCAACTTATGGGCGAAACTTGGAAAGGCTTGTTGCAGTAAAAGGTTCCTCAGGAAAGTTCTGTCTTCTTGGAAAAACTTTCAATTATTTTGTTATAATTTATTTTTAGGCAGCGAAGCCTGCTTTTTTTTGAGGCTACATTTATTGCAGGCCATAGTTCTGTACCATCAGAATAAAAGAACTGAGTCTTTGGCATTGTTGAAAAAAGTAGAAAATGAAATGCAAAATTTGAAAGTTGACGAAAATGATGTTTTAACACTTGCAGAACTTGGTATGTTGTAAATTTGATTTTCAGTTTACTATACTAATTGTAATGGTCATTACATGATGTGTTTTCATCTTAAAAATGGGGGAAAAGTAATCTAACTAAAATTCAAGATCATAAATTTTTTTAAAATAGGTCAAAATATGATATGAGCATCACAGCATTTTCATATTCAACAATGTGTGCTTGTTCTAAGGGAGTCTTCAAGTAAGTCTTGTCAATGATGCGAGTCTAGTATATGGGGTGTCATAATCAGTACATTTAAACTAAATCTTGCTTGAGTTGTCTTTCACTTTTTAATATTTCTTCAAATAGGTCATTACCAAATCAAAATTAAAGGGGATTTTGTTTTTGTTTAAAACTTTTTTGAATTTAACTTCAACTTTTGCTGTGTTTGTGTCCATTTGCTTGGTACACTGTATTGATACATTGTAAATATACCTTATGTGGCTAAGAACACTTTCTTAAAACAGAATCAAAAATATTAATTAATAACCAAAACTATTAAGTTCTTATATTAAATTTATGCAAGAATACAGGATATACCCTGGAAGAAGCTAGAATTGGACTGAGGGCTAGCGGAGGTGATATTAACATGGCGGTAAATTATATTACTGAACAAAGGCAAAAGCGACAAGAAAGCAGAAAAAAGGCGAGAGCACAGAGGATTCTTGAAAAGTGAGGGAATGTTTTTTTTATTATTATGGATAATTAATAGGGTAATATCTCTTTCAATTGATGTGTTGATATAGTAGCAGTAGTTAATTTGTACCATAGTGTTTGTTATGACACCATCTCGCCATGTCATTACCAAGAATGATTAAACATTTTGTATCATAGCACCATTTCTAAAATCTTTGTTTTTTGCTCTTGTTAAGGTGTTTGGATAAAAGTAATAGCTACGCAAATAAATTAAAATTTTAGAGAAATGAAAAAACTGGGAAAGTGTGCAGATGGAATTCAGTTTGTAAATCCAAATTTCCTCAATATTTTAGTAAATATGGGATACAATAAGGAGGTTGCCAGGAGAGCACTGCAAAAATCGAATAATATTATCTCCGATAGTATACAGTTCATTCAGGATAATCCTCAAGCTGGTACAAGTGATTCTAAAAGTACCGAATTTATGTCCCTTATCGACGATCTAGTATCTCAGGTAACTGATGTTCAGTGTTAACTGCGCATGCTGAAAAATATCTTATTTTTATTTTAGCTCGTGGAGGCTGGTTTTGATCCGCGTATGGCCAAAATTGCGTTGCAAAAACATGATGGCGACGTACTAAAATCGGCCGAAGAACTGTTGGCAAATGACGGCTTAGTTGCGGGGGATTTAACAGAATTCAATAGTAAGTTCACACGCGAATATGTAGGGCAGATGCTTTTTTTTGGACATTTTTTAGTTCGATCAGAAAGCATAGAAGAAATCAAACAAAAGAAAATTGCGGAGGAATTAAAAGAACAAGCTTTTAACAGACTTAAGGAAGACATATCGATAACAGATGATGATCACTTGGATTTTAATCTAGTTCAAGAGGAACTCTTTCTTAAGCAGTATTTGTCCCTTTTGGATAAATCTTAAAGGTCATGATTAAAGATATCGATTTGGGTGTATAGTGGGCAGGAATCAATATATTACCATTTTGTTGTGAGCAACTTATAAAGGATCAAAGCAAATCAACAAATAAAATCAACAATATTAACAAAAAAGTAGTTATGGATTAACAAGAAAATAGTCAATACCCTCGCCATAAACCCTTTCCAAAATAGCATTAACAATATCCATCACTTCAGATTTTTCAGGGATTGGCAGTTTATCAATAGATTTTCTAATTTCTTCTTTGTCCAGGGGTATATCCTCAGCTAACTGCTTTACTTTTATTACAATTTTATCAATTGTCTCGTTGCTTTTTAGATACTCAAGTGGTAAATTTTCCAGTAACTGTTCAATTAATGCAGTCATAAAACTCGCAGGACCACTGCAGAAAACGTCAGCAACGATATCGTCTAAAATATCTTTCATGCAGCTTGAAATATGTTCATCATTTATCTGAAAATTAAAAAATATATTTTAAATTGTGAACAAAGTATTTGGTTTTGGATAAATGAACAGGATAAAATTAGGCATTCCAGTTAACACATCAATTTCAAAATTGAATTTATTTAGAGCTAAATCCTAGTTTCGGGAAAGTTCTGCTGAAGATTATAATTAATCCGATGAAATACATACATAACCTTACCACCAAACAGCAACGAATATATTGTTTTCCAATTATTGCTGTTTGATCAAGCACTTCAAAGGTGGTATTCATTTCTTATGTGACGTGATATATTACCTGTGGGGCATCCTGTATGCTAAGTAATTGATCGGCAGACTTTTTAATCAGTTTCTGTTGTTCCTCAGTAAATTCGAGAGGTAAGCTATTCATAATTTCATTAACTATCTCGGTCACACTCGTGCAGTCGGCAACACTGCTTAAAATTTTGCGGGTGATCGTCTCTTTACTTTTTTGGATTAGGGTCTGATCTACATCTTTCGTTAGGCATTCCACTAAGTCTTCAATTATATCAGCTTCCTCCAAGGAATAACTAAAATTTAGGTCGATTTCTGAGCGACCGATTAATTACCAGCGGTCCTTAAGTAAGGGCAACGAAGTACTAAGAAAACAGAGGGCCTTAGAAAATTGACAAATACTGAAGTAATCCGTAATCAAGAGATTTTGACAAGCGTATTATAACAACATCAAAACAAAAGTTAATTTCATGGCAACCTTGATAATGATCAACACCCGTTATTAAACAATTCAGTAAATTTATTAACTATTGACGTATTTAATTAGTAAAAGTAAAATAATTCGTTTCTAATTATGAATGAATTATTTTTGTCAAAGGAGTTCGTTAATTTATTTCTTAAGTGTTATTCCACATTTTGCTACTTAAATACGTCAATAGTTGTAAATAAATTTAGTTAAGTTCCAACAATTGTTTAATAACGGGAGTCACTGATTAAACCTAATTTCTAATTAAAAATAAGGTGAATATTAAATATGCCAATTGGGGGAGGATGTCAAAATGTAGTAATGTCAGCTACAGGGGAAATTTGGTGCCCTTCGAAATTATTTTAAAAAAGTCATAAACGTTACCAATGAACGTTTTATTTGGTAAATTAGGTACAATTAGATAACTCGTCAAGTGAAAACGTTCCTTAAAATTCAACGTTTTTTTTAGTGTCAATTTTTTTTATTCCTACTTTACTTGATTTTAAAAATCAAGACAGCAATTATACCCCCGTCGGCTATTTCAGAAACTCGGAAATAAGTTACAACCTTTTCTCTTGGCCGATTTATTTATATATTTTTTTTAATTCTAAGGCCCTCCGTTGCCCTAACAGCGTACTTCGTTGCCCTTACTGGGGCATTCGGTATATAAACCTGGACTTTGAATAACCAAATAAAAAACAATTACAATCCTGGTATAGTGATCTCCCGTTTGAACGATACTTTCTCCATACTTTTGGCACCTTCGTCGTAGATTTCCTCATTAATAAACTCATCGAAATATTCCCAGTCTGGTGGCCTCTCCTGTTCTTTACTCTCTTCTACTTCATGTTTTTCTTTATCTTCTAAATACACAACCTTCTTTCTTGTACTCTTTGGAGGCAATCCTGCGGATCCAACAGTGAAGCTTCATCAACATCAATATAACGCCGCTTACCTTTAACTTTCAACATCTTCGTTTCTTCCCTCAGTTCATGCAGAGTTCGGTTTTGTTCCTCAACTATGCTTTCCAGTTTTAACAAATCTTTTAAAAATTCTTTGTGCACTGCTTCAGTACTCTCGATCTTTTCCCTCTTTGTCTGCTGAGATCTCACGAATTTGGCTAGCTCCTCCTTTTCCCTATTGATGACGGCGATGAGCTCGACGCGTTTCGTGTTTTGCTTGATTTCGTCTGCCAGCTCTTCTTGAGCTTTTGCGATTTTCCTCTGAAAAATGAAAACATATGTTGCAAATGACGAGCGACCTTTTTTTTGCACTTACGTCCCAATCGTCTAGAACGGAAAGGTACATTGCTTTAATATCGGTCATTTTGATCCTTAAATTGTAAACTAGCTTTTTTAATACGACCTCTTCCAATTCGTTTACGTATTGCTTTTGGAACGATCTTTGTAACATGGCAAGTTCCAATTCGTCAATGTCTACAATTTTACCAAACTTCGTTTTCAGTAATTGGATTATGTCCAGCTTGAGCGAGCGTAACTTGCGTTTCATGTAAGTTGTGTCTCTGCCCAGCCTCATCAGATGTGCAAGATAAGTACTAAAAAAAAATACTTAATATAGGTGCTAAATTTCGTCATCACAAATTGATTAAAATATATAAAGAAATGTGCTTTACGCACTATGGGTAAAATTTCAGTTTCAATGTCCAAATTGTTTTGCCATCAGTCGCTAATAATTTGGGCACTAAATGCAGTTTAACTTATTTTTTTAGGGAACTAGTAAACAACCGCTGTGTTTATTAATATATTAATCTGCATGACACGGTGTTTATCAAGAATTAAAAATATAAAATGTAGCTGTCAAGACTTGGCTATTGATTTCATATGATTTTTTTCCAATTTCCAATTTTTACATACATACAGGGCTGCCGAAAAGCAATATCAGATCAAACTTGTAAAAATATTGATATTGAGCCAATATCGCCCGTTAGAAATATTAAAGTTGTCCTCAGAATTGTTATTTCTTTATAACTCAAACTCTTTTTTGAGATAGCGATATGAAAACTTTGAACCGCCGGTTTTTGAAAACGAAGAATGGTGTTACATTCTATTTTTTCATATAATATGTAGTGGGGACTATTTACACCCTAGAATCTAATTATTTTATGAAATAGCTCTCTTGGTAGTTTTTTTTTGTTAGAAAATTATTATAAATGTAAGTAAAAAGGATATACTGTATTTACTTCGATTAAATATACCCTCTTTCACATATTTGCAATGTAATACAGGTCCTTCCATCTCCGATGTTGAGTCTACGTCCAACATCGGAGATGGAAGGACCTCTGAAGAAGCTCGCCACTCGTGCTAGCGAAACGTTAGGAAGTAATTCCAATCGACGACGGCCTTTAAACCCGAATGAAGATAATAGCTTATCAACGGGCGAAGGCGAAAGCCTTAACCAATTTATCAAATTGATACTGTTTAGTTACTTACATTATTTCTAAGAAAATAAAAGAGACGCTTATAAAGACATATTTTGTTCTATAATTAACGGGATCCGATCTACATCCTGCTTTATATATAGGTGATACTATAGACGTTTTAAACTCATAGAGTATATTACCACTCTCAAGTATCATTCTTATTATATCATATATAGGATCAACAATACGTAAGTGTAAAATTTTTAAAAATTTTAAAATAATTTTATAGTTTCTTGGAGCACAATTGTTTTTTAAAATTGTTTATGTCTTCTATTATCTCATTTACCGTGACTGGAGTTAAACATATTTTTTTATTATTACAGGAGTGATGGACAACTCTATTTTAGCAGCCATTTTTTCTCCTATGTTGATAAAATATTCATTGAAAGATATTAGCCACTTCTTTTTTTATCAGTTGTTAAAATACTATCATCTTTTTAAGTCGGCTTTTCTGTTCATTTGTAGCTTCATTAAATAGGTCATAAATTTTCCTAATAATTTTATTATTTATTTTATTATTGTCAACGTTCAGTATAAATTTATTTAAGCAATTTAAGTTTTATGTTTGTTAACGGAACTTTATTTTCTTCGATGGCTGTTGGTTTAGGGTTAAAAGGAAATTTATTTTAGAGCGTCTAAAAAAGTAAGAAATTTTTCTCATCACCGAAACATACTCGTGGCTAATTTGTTGTTTCAAGGTTTCGTTTTTCAAAACGTCCACTTGTCTATAGAGGTCGGTCAATTGCGATCGTGAAAACACTATGAAGTCGGAAATATCGCTGGACTCTGGATTAAACTCGTAAATCTGGTCCAAATGTAACACCACTGTACATCTCACATCGTTCAATTTCTTTTGTTTTTCCCTCTGGAATGTAAAAATGTCAATCAAACTTTAAAATATTTAAGCGGGAATATTTACTACCTATACATGTGACTAGAATCGTTTTTAAAATTGGTTTTGGATTTAAATTCTGGTGCGTTTGTGTTTGGCGTGGTAATATATGAGTCAGTGGTTTATTTATTGGGACAATTAATAGTCGATTGTATGCAGAACTGTGTTCTTTTAAATATACTTTTTACAGAAGAGCCAAAGCAATTATAAACTGTGGTCATTCGCTATTTTCCGGGATTCACCGAGGAATTTTTCTTTTGGTTACAGACCAAAAAAAAGACAAAATATAACCAACATTTATTCTGAGTTATCAAAAAAGGATTTTGCAGATACCAAAAAAAACACGGTTTCCTCCCGCTTCCACCAAGGACCATCCGGCCTTTAACCTGCGTGAGTAGCAAAAACAGCGGAGCCGGCACACTTAAACATTTTAAAATACTTCCGAAACGAAAATCACAAGAAAAAAAAACGATATCAGAGCTTTTTGAGACGAATACAATGGATTCTGGAGGGAGCGAGCGGAGGTTAAATTGCCACGTGCAATACTGCAGCACAGAATTAGCAAAGAACGGAAATACGACTATACGACCAACTGACAATTTTGTTGTCAATGACTGTGTGATGCTAGTGGGTGTCAATTGAGCACAATTTTTACCTTGAGTTATTTTAATTTTTTTCAAAACATCCAAAAGAACTATCATTCATGTTGTTTTAATTATTATGTGGCGGCGCTCATGAAATTAATACATAACGTCCAAGTCGCGTTTAAATAAATAAATTTTTGGAACGGATTTCGACCGATCTCATGTTTTTCCGAACGCAATTTGATTTGAGTCACGTGTATACGTAGTAATTAATTGAAAAAGGTACCCTGAACTCCTCTAATTTCTCCTCGTTTAGTTTATAATCATTTTGTAGGGTAATTAGTTTTTTTTTGTTTATCTCAATTTCCTTGGTGGTTGATTCTAGAAGTCTGATTTCATTTTTTTCGTTTTGTTCAAGCTTATGTCTGAAATTATGGAAAATGACGTCTTAATTATAAATCGATTATTAAATTTTTCTTTACTTTTTGGTACGCAATTCAACCGTTAAATTGAACAACGCCGGTTCACATCCTTTGGGGCATACGTTCAAGTCTTGTTTAATAAATCCAAAATCCCTCGAGTCGACACTAGCAGTGTCGCCATCGTACTCGGTGTCATCTGTACTGGACGTTGACGATTCTGAAGTATCATCTTAAAAAAGGTTATTTAAGTTGTGGCACCGGTAAGTAACTAATGAACTTACCGTTTTCGCTTTTTATCCTCGGGAGCCGAAACTTTTTCCTAAACACTTTTCTCAAGAAATCAAAAAACTTGTTATTTTCGGTGGCGTTTTTGAATTTTTCCTGTATTTTTTCTTCTTCTATTCGATAGTTTTCCAGTTTCGTTTCGTGGGCTGTTTTGTCGTATTTTAAACCTTCTATTATATCCTTAATGAATGAATTTAAATAGTGTGTGAATCCAGGTACATTTACTTCTTAAACAGTTTTTATAGAAGGTGCTTTACAAAATATAAACTTAAGGGGGTGATTGTTTGTTTATTAGGGAGATATCGCGCTGAAGTATTACTGTTATGAAAATACACTGTCTGCATATTTTTTATTTTTTTAAAATGATTGGAGGGGATTGAATAATTTTAATAATTTTTAAATTTAAGGAAAAACTTATTTTTATATATATTTTATTTCTTCGTAATACTTATCGTTTCCGAATAAGAAAATAAAATCTAAATCTAGTGCTATTGCTGACATTGCTGAGTTAGTTTGAATAAAAAATACGACCAATTTAAGCAAAAATGTCGTATCTAAGAATTTTTCAATTATAAGAGCTTTTGTTCAATAATGGTGAATTACACTAATGCAGAAATGGCAGATATGTATTTTATGTATGGGCGTGCGAACGGAAATTTCTTGAGAGCTTGTCGTTTTTATACACAACCTGCGCTGCGCTAAATATTGTTGAAGGGCAACAGGACACAAATATGAGGAAAATTGCAGCACAATTAAATACTAACGGATCAACTATATGGAGGATATCAAAATAAAAACAGTTATATCTATACTTCGTACAGATGAGGGTTCAAGCGAGAGAGTTCGAATCGACATTTTTAATTTTATTAAGTAGATTTCTGAAAAAATGGCAAGGGATAAAAAAATAAAAGTAAAAGTAAACGCATCTATCCAAATTATTCCATGCCATTGCGTTTTTTTTTTTAATAAATTTAGTTAAGGGGTTATAAAACTAAAAAAATATGCGGGATATTTTTTTATAACAATAATATTTCCTTAATATTTTATTGTTAAAAGAATTATTTTTCCGCCATGTTTGTAGCGCGAAATCTCCCTAATGATTGGTTTTAGATTTAACATTTATACAACAAACTACCCCTTATTTTAAACAAGTTGTTGGGTTGGGTTGCCCTAAATATCGGACATTTGTCCTGTAAACGGGCCAGTTTATGCTATACTTCTTGAACAAATTCAAGTGAACGAAAAAATAGTAACGACTTAACTTTACAGGACTTCGTAAAAAAGTGGATTTTGTAGTAACCATATATGGGTTTATTGATTTCTTCAAATAATGCGGTAAAATTAAGATACCTCTTCGACATTTGAGATATAATATACTCGATAGGTAAAATATTTAATATTGGTGATATTTTGCTAACAAAACTGCTGTCGCCCGCTTTTTTGTTTTTGCAATAAAATTATTAAAATTAATAAACAAGTATTAGAATGGTAATTAAAGAAAAAGCTATAGTAATGATTTTCAAAAATTAGTAAAAATGGATTATAATTTGTTCATTTTTTTTGATAATGCGTTGTTACTTACCCAGCTCATTTTTTTTGCATTTTTGAAAAAATATATGTATTGTATATTTGATAGTTTTGATATCTAGAAGCCATCATTCCTCTGCTAAATCTGCGTTATATGCGTTATATGCCGTATTTCACGGCGAATTATATTTTCCATAAATCGATGACCATTGTGACCTCAAGTTCGCGATAAGTGGCGCAACCCTGGCTCTACTTATATTTTACAATTTTTTAAAAATAATTGTTTACTTTATTTGATTTTACTATTCCACAGGTAAATCAAAACAGCAACAACAATAGTCATTTCGAATGGTTTCCTTAAAAAGCTTATCTTTATAGATTAATCTGTAATTTCCTACAGCGTTCGATTACTTTACAAACTAGAAAGTTAATTCTTTTTTGGGTGACTCCCATAACATTTTATCGAGAAAAAATAATTTTTTTATTTTGGAAACTCGACGAGATAGCATAATTACCTCCATCGCGTGGACTCCCGATAGCTTACTGTTCACTTCCTGCAAAAGTTTCTCTTCCTGTTCCTCGCAACTTTTCAATATCTGCAACTCCTCGTTCAGACACACGATAAATATGTCGATAAAGTTGCCGCCAATTAATATCGGTAACCGTTCCTTCCTTGCTTCAAATATCCAGTTATTAAAATCCTCAATCATCTCTTCCATTTCGGCTATTGCGAGTTTCTGATAGAACAGTAACCTGAAGTGCGATAGCTTAAACATGAAAGTGTGTTCTATTAAAATATGTCACCTGTTCAATCTGTTGGCCCTGAGGCACGACTCAAACGGGGTATCGGAGTGTTCAGAAAATTGCAGCAGCTCAGCGCACGACATATTCTGAACCGCGAATACTTCTTCGTTTGGAATGGCGCTGATGAAAAATCCGTTATCGAATTTGGGATACGTTTTGCTTGCCAGCAGTTGCTTTTCCAAAATATCTCCTACAGGTTTCTGAAATAAAATTGTAGTACGGTGCTTGTGGACAGCCAAAGGACCATGTCACATGAAAGCGGACACGGAAAAATCGGATCAAATTTCTCACTACAATTCTATTTGAGTAGTTAATATACAGGGTGGCGCAATATCATGTCAAAGTACAATATTTCCCTTATTTATAATTATTATACTTAAAAGCAACAAAAAATGTATTATTCCCTCCTAGGAATTTTAATATGGCACCGTAATTAGAAAATATTTCGAAGAACATGCTTCTATATAACTTCTTTATCTCCGCACCCTTTATAATATTAGAAATGGACCTTAAGGTAGTCAAATGAATTACTGAGAGTTCAGTAAAGCACGCAAGTAATTATTATATAAAGAGGGTTTTCGAAATACTTCCAACGAATTTTAAACTTATTTTTCTCTTCATTTTTAAATGAAGTACTCTGAATCTAACTACATTATCGTTTGTAGCTATTACCTCCCACTACTTTGGTTGAGGTTCCCTACACCCACCGATTTAAGTTTTTTCCTAACTTTCGTTTTTATTTACAAAAATACTTTCACTTGTCGCTCTCTAGTGAGCCGTGAATATAAAATAAAAGGGATACATTGGCATTTTTAAATTTAATAAATTGATTTAATTCACTGTTAGTTCAAAAATACGTTTTTGTTATTACAGTGCAGTCTCGATAATCCTAACTAATTAAAACGGCGGCGATCCGGATGAGTAAATAATTCGGATTACTGAAGCAAGACAACTTTTGTATTAAGAACTAAAGTATTTGATACAAGACAACTACAATATAGTACAAACATAAAAAATATTCAAAACAAACAATATTTCATTAAATTGTATATTATTTTGTGAAATAATTTGTAATTTTTGTTTGCTTGATCCTCTTCTGGTTCATCATAAAAGTTGTTTCTTTTAATCTTTGAAGTACAAGAGGACTTTATGCACACATTAAAACTTTTAACTGCCGCATCGTTCTTAACAGTCAGGTTGGATGATTTAATTCTGTATCTTCATTGTCACTCCCACATGCACCATCCATGTCTTCCAGTGGTACCAAATCTTCATCATTCTCAAGCCAATTACATATTTCCGCGTTCGTGAGATTTTGTTCGATGAAAGCATTGAGCATATCGTAAATATATACGAATTAATAAAAAAAAAACAAGTAACCGAAAGAAAAATCAAAATTAACATAAACATTTTTTCCGTTTACTTCTTCATCAGAAGAAAGCAGATAACGTTGCAATTCACTAAGAACAATCAGATCAGCGTCATATTCAGTGTCTGGTTTGGTATTTGCAACGTGAGCCATGCTACACTTCTCCAAGATTTCCAGGGAGATTTTTTTCGAAGCATTGCATAGTAAATGTACAGCATCCTTCATGTCAATGGATTTTAATATCTTTGTTATTAGACAAAATATGGGTTAAAAGACTTTTTCTACTCTCGTCTGTAAAATACCTAATTACTCACCGATCTAGCGTGCGGGAAGCGTCACTTTACTACGTCGGTTTCCTTTCCCATGAATCCGAGCCGCTTCGGACATTTCCGGGATTTTACCGCGCGGATTTGGGAGCAATCGGATGTTTTTGGAGATATTTCCGACGCTTTGAATTTTGACGTTTGTCAATTCTGACGGCCGTAGAAAAAGTATAGTATGCAACACGTTCGGTAAATTTTAAATTACTCGTTTATTAAGCACTCGCTCCGCTCGTGTCAAATAAACTCGTGAGTCAAATGCCCTTTACCGCACTTGTTGCATAATATACTATTTCCGATGAAATAATTTCATCAGTCAAATGGCATTTTGGTCCACAGGCTGCAAAAGTGATGTACACGAACTTCATAGTAAATATGGTGGGAGAAATAAGGTGGTAGCTTGAGGCGTTATCGACAGTTAGCAGGGCCGTTTCAGGCAAATTGAGGCTTCTTAAATGACTTTTGATCTGACGAATAAAAGAGTGATGTATCCAATCTACGAAAATTGCTGTAGTGTATTGGCAGTTGATTTATATTCAATAGGTACGTTTTTGAAAGCTCTCGAATTTTTTGTCTCCTGAACCATCAGCATTAGTGTAGTCTTCTCCTGAACCTGCGTTTTCTCAGGCAACATTTTCCAATACAGGGCGGATTCATCTCCATTACATATCTGTGTAGGTTTGAGGTTTAATTCTTTTATCCGTTTTGCGAATGCAAATTATGATTTTCAAGACACACGAACTTCATAGTAAATGTCCAAAATAATCTTCAAAATAATTTATACATACATACTTTTTAGTTTTTGTTTGTTGTTTTTTATATCCGACATTGCTGACACCTTACTCATTTGCAAATATTTTTCCACTTTTACCACGAATTAGTCTTTCTAATATATCGGGCTTTTATTATTAGTGTAGTATTTCTTCTAGAAGATATTTTAATAGTACTTTGTTAAAACTAACTACTAAACGTAAAGCAAAGGCAGATGTCCGGCCAAATTTAGATAGTTACGGGAATCTAATGTTATCAATTTCACTTTTCCCAAATGTATAATGCATAGTTGGAATAAAGTAGGCGTTTAAAAACACAGATCCGGATTATCAAGCACTATCAAACCCGGCTTATAAAGTACACAATGCTATTGAAAGACCAGTTCGACAAGGAAAGAAATAAGAATTACCATAAGAAACGGTTTTCAAGATCTGGGTGTGGCAAATTTCAGTTGTCATTTAGCGAGAAATGTTAAATTTGTATTCAATAATAATAATCACTTAGTATTTTTTAAGTAAGCACTTTAAGTTGATTTACTATTCCAATGTGTATTTATACTTGACTTTAATTGATCAAATATTCCAAACTTGTTTTACCAAAATAATTTCAGAGTAACAAACACCTATTTTTATTATTTAAATTTAAAAGGTCAATGTACCGCTTGTATTTCACAATCAGTTACTAGATAGCTATAAATTAAAATAATTTTGTAAAAGACGAGTATTACGGAAAAACTTGAATGTATTGGTATAGGGAAACTTTACCAACAGTGGTTTAACTGAAGACGATAATGTAGATAAAGATAAATAATTACGATGTGATATAAATATTTCTTGGAGAAATCCTATTATGAAAAAATATACAGGAGGTTAAAAAAATATATGCTTTTACGGAACACTCTGTATAAATGAAAATGTTTTTAAAATATGGTAAGCTGGATAAACATTTTTTTTTTAAATTGAGCGAAATAAGGAAGATATTGTACTTTATCACCAATATACAAAACATTTTTGGCAAATATGGCCTCCAACAATTAATTTGTCTTGATTAAAATAGTAGATTAAATAACCAAAGAGCAAAGAGAATAATGTGGTTAAGTGTGAATTGCCGTGTAGCTTTCTACATTTTTTCTTATATGCAGCACCGGCAACGTTGACTTACCGCAATTATTTTTCTTTCCTTGGGTTGATCAACATCATCTGATTCTGTTTCTCCTTCGGGAAGCACGACTTTGATTTTCAATTTTTCTTCTGGAAATTCGGCTGCGTCGTAGGGCGGAATGTCAGGTCCATTTTTCCTGAAATCATAGTTCGACGTATTTTCACGTGCAATTTCATGGGATTTTGTTTATATTTAACCTCATATATTCTGGTAATTCTTCATTAATCTCGTCAAGTCTTTTTTGTTTCTTTTTTAGCAGTTCAATCAATTTGTATTTTTCGTCCCTTATATCGTACACTTTGCGGATGAAATTGTGGCGTAAGGCATATTGCTGTAAGTATATTTGAATATTAGTAATTTTTAAAACGAGCGTGTATAATATCGACCTTTCCTCTTGTTTCCAGCAATTTTTTGTAGTGTTTTATGGTCGTTTCTTGGGTTGATACTTTGTAATCAAAATTTTCTTTTAGCTTGTAATCTCCAAAGGAATGTTTCGCTTCTTCCAAAAATTTTTCATCGTCGGGGTGGTTTTTTCCAGGTACCGGTTTTTTGGCCAAAAATTCGTCCCACTAAAATCGAAAAATCTATTGATTGATTGACAAGCATTAAAAAGACAATATTTTGTTAAACTAATTTGTTTTTAATTATTTAGCCGCAAATATTTTTACCAATTTCTACTAATTCAATAAATAATGCATACTATTCACGTAAAATATCAGATTATCGCTCGTAGTACGTGGAGATTGGTTAAGCCAGTTTTTTTATTAATTATTTATTTATTTTTATTTTTGACACCTAATACTTTTGTGAATATTTGTTGTATTTTGAACGTCCAATACGCTGGTAAAATTTCGCAATTTGTTGCATTGCATGTTTGTTTATTTATTTGTAAATTTGGTAGGTGGGCATTTTCGTTTGATTTTTACCGATACTTTGTGACAGCAATACAAATTCTACATTTTTTCATCGAATTAGCAGTCTGTGATTTCACTCTTACATATAAAAAAGAAAATGCTCCCTGGGTCCGTCTTCTTTTGGTTATAATGTATTTGCATCATTGTTAAGTAGCCGACTAAAAAAGGAAGAGGAAGGTTCTTATATAACCTCGATTCGAAAATAAGGGTAGGGCGATGATATAGTTTTTTCGAATATCGAAAATAATCACTCAGTAGAAAATTTTTCGTAGTTTGTTTACAAATTCCGTATGATACCAACATGTCGTCTGGAATTTTTGGGTGGGATTTGCTCTATAGTGCTTTGAAGAATGATATACAAAATAATCAGGATATTTTGGTGTGTTTCACACACTTAGTTCTCGTATCGAATGGCTTTAAATGTATCGGCCTAGGTGAGTCGAAGAACATAGATGGTACGGAATCGAAGAGTGAAACTTTGCCAAAAGGTTGGAATGATGATTATTCTATTCGATATGTTTATCAGGGTCGATTGTATAATTTAAAGGCCACTAGCTTAGATGATGCTGTAATGATTAATTTGGTCAGAGTAGATGAACGTACTGTTGGACTGGTACACTTAAATGTACGAGCTGTTGCGCAGAAAACTGGAACACTTGATGAAATGATACCAGATAATAAGAGTATTCTTGAGCAAATAAAGACTCAACTGATTGATAAAGTGGTCTTATCAGAGAAACAGAAAGATACTTCTAGTCAAACAGAAACCCAGCAACCACAACAAGGAACTTCTCGAAATCGATCCACTGAGCCAGAGGGGCTTAGCCAGCCAATTGCCCAGTATATTCAACCCCCTTTGGTAAATTGTTATCTTAAAGCATTAATTTAATCTGTCTCTTAATATATGTTCTAGGCAGATCCATTTGATTATGGTAGGTCTGATCTAAATCCTTTTGGAATAAACCCTCTTGGGATCGCCCCTCCTAGGCCACTGGGTGGCGGAGGAATGTTATTCCAACCACCACGGCCTTCATTCCCCATGGGCGGTAATTTGGGTGTTCCACCAGGTTCTCTACCTCCTGGAGCACGTTTTGATCCATTTAGGCCACCCGAAAGTTTTCCTCAGCCACGAAGGCCTCCCAATAGACCAGATAATGATGAGTTTCCTCCACCTGGTTATGATGACATGTTTATGTAATTTTTCTAAGTGCTCCAATAATTTTAAATAGCCTGTAATAATTTGTTTAATAAAAAGTACTACATAAAATGAAACTTATTTTTTTTCAGCATCATACTTACAATATACTTACTTACATTTGGAGAAACAGATTATTTATTTATTTAATTCTATATTAATGATCTGTTCCAGATAATATTTTTTTGTGCATATTATCAGTTATCTTGGTCATTATAGTGTGCTTCACTAAATACATGTTATTGAACATACAAGGAAGAGTCAGATGAAATGAGAGGAAAATACCACAAGAACTACTCTGTTTTTTTGTGCCCAAACATTTTCTTGTTTCTTGGAAATTAATTAATTCGTTTTTTCTTACCTCTTTAGCCCTTCGTTCCCATTTTTCCTTCCGAGCTCTGTATTTCTTCAATATACGGGTTAGTTGAGGCCCTAACCGATCTTGTACTACCGCGGCCGGAAGACTTAACAGGAAAAATTCAAGTGGCGATTCGGTTTTTTCAATTTTTGCCGAAAACGGTTTTTGAACAATCTGAACCCTTTCAGGGGATCTAAAATTTGTTTTTAACTGTGCAACAATAAAGTTTTTATGTTTGATGTACTACTGGCGCCAACTTATTTGTAAGATCATTTTTACTGGAAAAAGTTAATGTAGTTACCCAACTAAAAATTCGAAACCATAATTAAAGATGCCATCTTTTACGAAAATTAGCAGTGATTTATAGTGTGATATTGCCTATTGAATTGAAACAGTTGTAATATCCAATGGGAATGTGGTAGGTATATTTTTTGTTTTTAATTTATTCTTTTTTAATGTTCTCTGGCTTCATCTTCTGTGTCCCCTGAAAAATTGCTTGACTTATGAAATTAAAGCCCAATCTTACAACAATTACATAGTGTAACATATTAAATTATATATATATATATATATATATATATATATATATATATATATATATATATATATATATATATATATATATATATATATATATATATATATATATATATATATATAATTGGTAAATGGAAAATCATAATTTAATTGCATGAAGCTAATTTTCTTTTGAAACAGTTCGTCTTAATTTATCCCATTAATTTATCTGATATTCAATTCTCAATTCTTAAGAGTAACCTGTAACTTTTTAAATTTGCCTGAAGTAGTGATTTTTTTTTTCAAGTAGGAACTTTGTGTTTTTATCATTAATACGCATCATCCAATTAAAAGCTTAAGAGATACTTACTTTACTACTTCCCTTATATTTTCATCTGAATGCATGAATGAAAATTTATTGTCATTATTATTTAATTAATGGATGGGTTGGTTTGCAGGGAAATGATGCACAAGGTGTTTTTCGATCTTTCGCGTTAAGGTTAAATACATTTTGAAGTTGAGGAATTTTTTTCATTTTTGGAATTCACACAGAAAATATGAAACTACTTCTCATATGTTCTGCATTTGTTAACTTAAAGAATAATTAATAACTACTTTTCATATAAGTTTGGGTGTACATTTCAGTGCCGTGCTTAGAAAAAATATACCAGGCAGGTCAAGAATTTATTTGGATAGGGATTTCTATGCATATTTAAGTGCCTCCCATCACTTTATTTCAAATGTTTTAAACTTTAATGGTGCTACATTCTTCAAAATGGGTTTCAAGATTTACTTTTGGCCGGTAGTTAGTTTATAGACTGCAGTACAAAGATTTTAAGGGAACATTTATGAGCCAAGAATGAGTCCGTTTTAGATACGTTTGCTTATTTGTCTTCATTTGTCTTACTTGTCTTTCTTGGTTTTCTTATTTGTCTTTACCATGTGTAGCTAAGATAAAATTATTGTAAGAATCCGCGACTTTACAAATTAAAAAAAATGAATAAGGTAATCCTAATAAATCATTTTATGGATGGAACAGATTTTGAAAAATTTTTGTTTGAAAATAGTAAAGATGTTCGATCCACAAAAAAAATGTATTAGGATCTTTTGTGTATTTTGGTACTCTTCAACTGAGTTATCTCAAAAACTTAATAATTGTTTTGTTTTTTGGCGTCGTGTTTTTTTAGGGAAGCACAAAATATTTTTTTTATCGAAAATGAAAAATATCATATGCAGGGCCGGCCTACTGAAAATAAAGGATTTTAGTATTATTTAAATATTCTTTCATAAAATCTAAAAATTTTGCTTTGCAAGAAGCCCGTATATATTTTTTTAATATTATTTACTAAAAATTTCATATGTTTATATTAAAAGTACTTTGCTTTGTTTGAACAATATTGAAAGCAAAAGGGATAAAAACAATATTTTTGAAACAAGTGTACTCTTATTTAAAAATGGTAATATTATATAGAAAGAAGAATGTATTTACTGAAAAATACTATTCATTCATTGCATTTTTCATTTTTTTGCTTTTTCAGAAGTGAAAGAACTGATTGAAAGTAATCTCTTGCCTTATTTGCATATTTTTAAATGTTATTAACATTCACCTGCCTTTACTCTCTTCTTGTTTCAGTTTTTCGTCGATAATCCGGAGCATCTCATAAAAAATGGGCGGCATTATCCTTTGACGAACGGTCATTATCGCGCATCCGGGTTTGCCGATGCCATGTATGACGTTCGGGTGCATGTCGCACGGGTCCGTTATGTAACTGGAAGGGAAAGTCATGGACGAATTCACGGGCGATTGATTAGATTAAAAAAAACTTGCCTCAATAATTTGTTGACTTTAACGCGTGATTTTTCCACATCGTAGCCGAGTTTCCTCTTGACGATTTCTATCTTCTCGTCGAGTACATTCTTCAAGTGCGCCGACACCCTGTCGTCCGGTTCGAGTTGCTCCCTCGGGATGCTCTTAAATTGAAATTGGCAATATAATAAGGAAAGTATGCCGCATGGCAACCGCACCTGGCTAGGTAACAATTCCGTGTTTCGGTGAAGTAATTTCTTATATCGCTCCTTTAATATTTTTAACGCTTCCCTTACTGCTGTTTTTCTTTCAGTGGCTACTTTAAAAATCCTATCGTTTTCGGCCTTAATTTTAGTTTCTTCAAGACTCGGCTTTTCGGTCGTTTCTATCTCTATCAGAATTAAGAATAAGACGAATTAGCATAATTTAAAGTTTTGAAAAATGCCTTACATATTATATCCCGATTATTTAGCACAATTTTGGAAAATTGTTTTAACAGGTATTGCATAAAAAACAATAACATACATTTTAACAATATGTTTCCCTATTATATTTTTAAATATTATGATTCCTCAACTTATTGGGAAAAAATTGAAAATATTTTAAACAACACGGTTTTTTATTATTTCCTATATATATACATTCGTACCCTTTAGAATATAAGAAATATATATATATATATATATATATATATATATATATATATATATATATATATATATATATATATATATATATATATATATATATATATATATATATATATATATATATATATATATATATATATATATATATATATATATATATATATATATATATATATATATATATATATATATATAATATATGCTAGGTGTAAAATACAATTAAACACACAAATGTGTTGCACTTCTTGTAATTATAGACACATCTTCTGAATGAAAATTCTGGAAACAAGTGTGGAACCAACAATAAAAACTGCAAAGAAGGTAATGTTAAAATATCCAGCTGAGTAAAGTATGGACTGCATGAGTCTCTAGGATGTACATGTAACATACTCCTTACCACCTGCTTTTGCGCTTTGAATATTTTAATTGTGTGTATGGGAGTCCCAGAACACACACGGTTACGGAGCACAGAGATTTAATGTGGGGCACCTATGTTAGTTGGGCATCCACTTTGTTAAAATTTCTCTATCAAAGTTATCAGCTCGGTTTTGGTAAGACAATTGGCATATAGTAGAAAAACTAAGGGCCCCAAGATGGAATGGCTGGGGAACCTCACACTCAATCCTTTGCGCTCTTGATGAGTATGTAACACCATTACTCATTATGGGCACATGTTGTTTGCATCCACATTCCGTAGCACTCCAATTTAGCAATCACGATCTACAGTGTCGGAGGCCTTTGACAGATCAAGAAACAAGTCAGGTACTTTTTCGTTATGATCCAAGTATTAAATATAAATTGTTCGTCATTTAAAATATTTCATTTTTATGACAGGTCTATAACTCTTTTTACGTTATAGTCAAATATATTACTACGAGTTTAGTAAAAAACGTAAGTAATTATTTCGTACACTTTTTTTGGGGGGCTTGCCAACTTGACGAAATTTAAAATGTTGTTTAAAAAAAAAGTAGTGGTTAGATACATTTGGTGAAGTTGGCGAAGGCTTTGAAAAACTTTTTTTTATATTGTAAAGGTCACGGAATAAAAGTTATCCCAATGAGCTGCCAACGTCGCATCAAAAGTATCAGTGTGTCATATACACATTTCTTACGGGACAAAAACATGTTTTTCTATTGCCGCGATTTTGCGTAAAACGGTGTAATTAAAACATTTTAAAAATATGTCTTTCACCCTGTATTTTAATATCATATCTTGACATCGGGTGCGTTTGTTTTTCGAATATTTATATTTATACTCTATTTAACCGGTCACATTTAAGTGAAAGAAAAAAAATTAAAAATATGAAAATTCTATCTTTTAAATAATCAGGTCTCAATTTGTGTCTCAAAACTGTAACACCCTCTAGCTTAAATAATGTTAAGCAATTTACGCGAGACGTTTATTTGAACTTTTTAAAATCATCCAATTATTCGCACCCATAAGAATAGACGCTTTTATTCTGGAAAAACCATTTCCAATTTACTGTAAACCGTATGACCTTAATTAAACTTTTATAAATAATGAGGTTATAATGAGTCTACGCTGCTGCATGCTTCTATCAATGACAAATCTTTAATTTTTTTTTTTGAAGGCTAGATATGAATAAAATATTAAAGAATCAACGCTATCTACAATTTAAACGGTTTATGGGAGAAGGTTTTAATATAATGGTTCTCAACTGCAGTTGCTCTGGGCAGCTTAACAGTGATTTAAAAAAGAACTCCAGTTATCAGCGTTTCAATAGCAGGAAATAGGGTTCATTTTGAAAATCATTTAAACAATTTAAAATCGATGTTGTATACTTTTCTTTTTTATGTTATTAGAAAAAGCCTTGAACTTTGATTTGCACTTCCAAAACGTTTCAAACGATCAATTCAAAGAAATTAAATAGTTATTAACAAGTTTAATACTTTTACACCGAAATTTTCAGGACTTCTTTTACTGGGGTGAGAGGCTTGTTCAGTTCATTATCAATTACAAAACAGTAATTTTAGACAGTTTTTTGCCACAACTTTTTTACTTATTAACATATATAAACTATAGCTTCAACTATAAGTCAAAAAACAGTTTTTTCAAACCTCCATTGTGACAAAACAAATAGTTGTCCAACTCTCAAAATTTCTACCATCGTCCTCAAACTTCCCGCCGAGTCTGATTATATCCTAATTTGACTGACTTATAATAACCAAAACTTCTGTAATCGAGAAATCTTAGAAATTTGTTTTGTATCGTCTCTAATCTGCTTTTAAAATGGATATCGTACTGGGTTGTCCAGACTACAGAGGCAAAACTTAATCGACCATTAACATAAAAAGTATAATATTTTTAAAGAGTGCAACGACGATAAGTGTTTATAATTTCTCAATAGATAACGTGTAAAAATATTCTGCAAACGAGCGAAGCGCTTATTTTGGTTATCATGCCTTCGATAGACGAGCAAGTGTGATCCGTTCTTATTCTTCGCAGCTTTGTAATAGGGAAGCTGTAATCCGTCGGGTGAAACTTGTAAGAGAATACATTGCCGTCGTGACCACAGCTAAAGAAGTACCTTTCGTCGTAGCTGAAGCACAGTCGCGGTATAAACCCGTTTTGATTGTCGTGCATAGAAATCTAAAAAGTTATTTGTCAGGATCAAGTTACAACGCACTCTTTAAGCTTTACTACAAAAGTACCGTAAAATAATCCTTCAAGTCGGCGAAATCATTTGGATTTCGTTTGTTTACCCTTACGCTCCCATCTTGCATTGCAAATATTAAAAAGTCCTTTTTGTGACTGCGAAAGAGAACTTTCAACCGGACCGAAAGTGGTTTTGGAAACATCACACTTACCTGTAAACGTAAGTGCTTATTTCTAAGTCTTCAGCATCTTCTACCATTCTGAATCTTATGGGCACGGTGCTTTTTTGATCGATGTGGTATTCATAGATGTATCCGGCATCATACCTTTAAAATTATAATCGATTTACTATTAATATTTATAAAGCTTTCTCAGAATCCGGACTTGGCCGGGCTCATGTGCGTTTCAAGAAATCAGACATTTACAGGGATCGCAACGAGATCACAGACGCTTCTTTGGATAATTTTCAACTCGTAGCCAGCCAGTCGAAAAGATAATCCTGAGCGCGCAAATATATAGAATCGATATAAATCGAGACATTATATATAATTATTAATAGTGTGTATAGTGAATAGTAGCGCCTAATAGTTGTCACTTTATTATTTTTGGACGAAATAAAATTGAAATCCGATTAAGTTTTACTTAGATACATTATTTTTACAAAACAGAGAAGCTACACCTTTTAAGCAATTTTTTTAGTTACTTTGAAAAGTATGTATTGTGATATATTTTTTTGATAACGAATAATATGTTTTTGTATTTTAACAATAATTTAATATATTTTTCTATTAATTTGATTTATTTTAGCTGTGTCTGATAATTGAGTCACAGAAAAACGGATTGCCGGTAAATAAATTGTTAAAGATATCCTATTGTCTTCAGTTACAGCGATTGCAAGTATTTTCCATTTAATACTTAATAGAAGTTTTTACCCTGCCATCGATATCCAGATAGTATCATTTTCGGTATATTTTAACCAAATGATCCTGTTCGGCACTTCGGGGATATACAGGGGTTCCAGTTCCTCCTCACTTTCCGAATCCTCTGAAAATAATTTTTAAAAATGTTCGTAACCAGTACATAGGAAATTATTTTTATTATTTTCTAAGTGGCACTACACCAAAATAATCTCCACCTTACCAAGGAACGTTTCTTCGTCGATTTCCAATCCGGGATGTTCATTTTTGAGCGCTTCCATCTCTTGTCTCTTGCGGGCCACCTTTTTCGCTTTTCTCTCTTCGATTTCCTTGATTTTAATGTCTCTTTTGATTTGAGATTTATACGTGGTAAAGCGATTAAATTTGGGCTCCAAATTGAGTCTAAACGATACTGTCGTATAAAGCTGTTCTTCTTTGGGTAAAGCGACTTGCATCATATGACCGTGTTCACAGCCTAATAAAACCTCGTGTTCCTAAAATAGGTGTTTTCTTTAAGTAAAAAAAATGTAAAAGGATCAGAAAATACAAAAGGAAAAAAATTGTTAGGAATCCCTTATGCGTTTAAAATATTATATTATTATATATAGAGGATGTTTGTGACAACTGTGGGACATATTCCTCCACATGAAATAAGAAAAAAAATACTGGTCAAAATCATTAATTTAAAACCTGTGGGAGGTAGGATTGAAAAAAAATCGTGGACACTCTGTAACTCGGTGACAAAGCCTTTTCGAACCCAGGTTTATAGGAAACTTTTTTCTTATTACAAGTTGCGGAATATGCGCCTACTAAGCATTTTCGCCCTTTATTATCACTTAAGTGTAAATCTCATTGTATAGTATGTACTTTACGTCACAAGAGATATAAAGGTCCTGCTTATGCTCTTAATTGAGGAAGTTATGAAGCAACTACAAAAAAAATGTTGAGGCATGCAAAAACCAACAAGGCCTCTGACAGACCATCAATAAGTTGCGGCATTTTTACGGAAAAATAGCATAAAGTGCAGGCCAGTGGTTGAAATGCGCGGAAAATCATTAAGTTCTCTATGAAAATATCAATCCCGCCAGCGGAGTGTCAATTTTTAACGTAGTAAGTATATTATTGCTTTGTATTTGGGGTTAATTTTCTTATAGAAGGAGATCAACCTTAGTTTCTGTGTGATCAAAAACTAACACGAAAAATTTTGCTTTTTACAAAACTTCTGGATTCCTCCCGGGTCGGTTTTTGCTTAGTCGAAACTGCTGACGTTTCGCCAATCATCCTGTTGACTTCTTCAGAGCTTGACTGAAACTGGCTCGTATTTTACTCTGTACCTGCTTATATATTATTTTGGGGGGGGGGGGGGCGTTAATGAGTGGTATAAACACCGTCTCGGATGCCTCATTCCTAAATTGGTGACAGGTAGACACCTGAGTCGCGATTAAGATTGTTAGGTTGTTTATAGATTTCTATAGACTCTCGGATTTTTCGTTGGTAGTAGAACTGATTACATGCAAGAATTTTAGTTTTATCAAATAAAATTTTATGCCCTGTTTCATGAGTGTGTTCGGCAACAGCTGATGAGTTTATTTGTCTTAGTCGTAAGGCTCTTTCGTGTTCTTTCAGCGTAGTTGACATTTTTCGTCCGCTCTCTCCCATGTATTCTTTGATGCATACGCATGGAATGCAAGTGTATTTTTTGATGGATGATTTTTTGATATCTTTAATGTGAAAATTATTAGAGAGAAGAGCAGAGGTAAGGTGTTTTAATTCTGTTTTCAGTGACTCGAGATGAGATAGTTTTACGGCTCTGTAAACAAGAGAGTTGATAACCGATGATTTTTGGGCCGGATGGTGACCATGCATTAAGGTGCGTAGGTTTTCTGTAAACACAATGACCCAATGTTAGGTTTGATTTTCTATTGATAAGAATATCTAAGAATGGCAGGTTATTATTAGCTTCCAACTCAATGGTAAAACGTATGTTAGGGTGTATCGAGTTTAAGTGTCTAAGAAAATCTACTGGGGTTTCTTGACCATGAGGCCAAATATTAAAAGTGTCATCGACGTAGCGTTTCCGATGAAAGGTGTCGAGAGTTTTCTTCTCAAAGGCTTCTATATATATATTCGCGATGACTGGTGATAGTGGAGAACCCATAGCTTTTCCCGACGTTTGTTCAAAAATTTGACTGTTATAAGAAAAACATGTTCCCGATAAGCATTTTTCAATTAAGGTGAGAAGGTTTGGTTCCAGATTCTCGGATTTTAATCTATCTGAAATGATGTCGAGAGTTTCAGGAATAGGAACTTTGGTAAAGAGGGATTCTACGTCGAAACTAACTAGAATATCTTGTTTATCTAATGTAATGCTTTTTAATTGTTCAATGAAGTGAAAAGAATTAAGTACGAAAATTGTCAGTTTTTCCTGTAAGGGGGGGAGGTTAATAAGGAAGCAGGCAATATATAAGCAGGTACAGAGTAAAATAAGAGCCAGTTTCAGTCAAGCTCCAAAGAAGCCAACGTCAGCAATTTTGATTAAGCAAAAACGGACGCAGGAGGAATCCAGAAGTTTTGTAAAAAGCATTACAGTAGCCTGTGGAAGTTTCTTTGACGAAAAATTTTGTTTAAAAGTATCTTTTTTATTTATTGTATCGCATTTAGCATAATAACAGATAAATATGAACACAACTAAATATATGTGCGTAGGTGCACGGTCGGGATATCTGATACTGGAAAGCAACATATCGAGAGAGTAATATACCTTCATATCTTGTAGTTAAAATAGATGCGAGATCCGAAAAATAAGTTGCAGACAGAATCACGTAAGGCAAGAAAGTAATTGGAACGCTAAACCCACACCCACATACATCTTTCAATCTCTTAACTTATTGAACAATAAAAAAAACTATCAGAAACTTAGGTTTATGATTATATATAAAGCATTTAGAAGGTCGGGAACAATTGACAGTGCCTTAATATATATGCTGGTCTAAGGTAAGAGATAGTTAAATCCAACAACTTTTGTCTTTAACCCTGAGATAACGCGGACCATCCACACTAGACATATAGACGCAGACGCAATTAAATTCACGTCAGTTGTTTCTGTTAATAGTAAAAGAAAAATAGAAACGATAGAATGGAAGTGATTTAGCTATACGTCAATATTTGATAACTATAACGCCAAATTCTCACATTTTCATAATGCCAGCTTATACAGTTAACAGCATCCGGGACTAGAAAAAAACCAATAGGCGTCAAGCATTTTTTGTGCGAATTTAGGTCCGTTTTGAACACGAAAAATGTATTATCCTCAGCAGCAGTGACTAGCAACGTCCCCGATCTGTTGATTGCCATCGTCGTGAGTTTCTTATTATGAGGTTTCGTAATCTGGTGGTGATTTAAATTAGTGTCATAAATTTTACTAAGGGCATTTATACCTGAGCAACCGCAAGTGAAATGCTGTCTTGCCGATTTCCGAGAGAATCCGGTATCGTTAGGCAGCAAACCCTTATTTGGCCGTCCTCGAAGCCAGCTAAAATGGTATCACCGAAAGGAACTAACTGAAATAGGAATTAAGGTAATGGAAAGGGTAGAAGGAGTGGTGGTAAATCAAGTACAATTATAGAAAATTTCAGAAAAGTATAAATTAATAAAATGGAAAATTCCGTCCAGTTCCGATCAATTTCGGTTTTGGCGATAGGCGTGTGCAATAAAATTATTTTTAAAAGCAGGTTTGCTAACCTTTCAGTCTTACCATACTGGAAATTATCATGAATTTCGATGTTTTTGAAGACTATTTTGAAAAAAATGATAAAATATATTCTTGCTTCATCTTCAAGAACACAAAAAATTATCTATTTGTTAGCCACCAAAAATATTAAATTTGAAGAAAATTTAGTGATATACGCCGTCGAAGATATAGCAGAACAACGTGGTAAAACTGCACACCGGAAAAACTTATGTTGGCGCAGCTGAAAGGATTTGCAGCAAGATGCAACACCACATTCAGAGAACTGGCGAAAATCAATAACAATAACAATAACAATAGGAAAAAGCTTAAATTGCCCCAAACTTGGGTGGTACTATCTGGACTCGGTAAGAAGAAAGAATTTTGCAATGAAATCAATGTCATATGTCATTTGTATACCTACGTTTTATTATTCTGCGCCTTTCTCAAATAGACTATGGAATAAGAAACTTGTTTTAGGATCTGAGTCGGGATCAGCTAATTACCTATTCGCGTTAGTAAGATTTTACTTGATTTCGGAAAATACAAACAAACATTAATCACATTTACAATTTTTTATAATTTTAGTTTACCAAAATAATTTGGTAATAACAAAAAATATATCTAAAACGGCTAACGTATTTTTGTAAATGATTAATAGAAGTGAATATTTTAAAAGAACTTGAAAATCGGGATAGACTAAAAACAATATTTTGATAAATACATAAATAATCAGAGAAAAAATAGTTGATTCGGCAATTTGTCAAGACTCTGGAAGCCTCCCGGCATAAAATAAGCTCTTTACTGAACTCTTGGTAACATATTTGGCTAGTTCAGGGTCTATTTTTCACTAAAATGGTTGCTGATGAAGAGATAGCAGATAATGACAGAGTTAATTTTATGAAATATTTCCTATAATTTAAAAACAATTACGGTGTCATATAGGTAAACATTTCTTGGAGGAACTATAATTTGCAAAAATGTAAAGGAATTTTCATTAAAAAATATGTACGGAACATACCGTATAACTGCAAATTTTTATTTTTAGATTTTATCAAACCAACAATTAAAAAAGTTTTTCGTAATTTAGTAACGCCTTTCAATTTTTTTTTTTATATGGACATTTTAAACATATTTTATGTATAATGTCCTATACCTATGTCTAACTTTGAAAAAAAAAAGTTAAAAAAGAGTCGTAAGTTGACATTTTTGTCATTTTTTGTCTACTTTAATACAGGGTGTCCACAACTAGGCAGAAAACATTCATATTTTCAACAATTCTGAAAAGTTTTACCAAGTTAATGACTTTTTTCTCTATCAAAATGCATTAGGGGTACCTATACCTATTCCGAACCATGTTGAAAATTATTAATAATAATAATTCATTCACTGACTCGGCTAGAAATAATTATTGTGTTCTGTTGTCAAACATGACAAATAACAATTAGCACAGTAATAAAAATAATAATAATAATTCTTTTTCCAAAGCCAAGTATACGTGCAGAGAATATGTTCAGCCGAACAAATACATTACTATGGAAATTATTTCGAATATGGTTCTGAATGGGTATAGGTATGGTCTGTTCGTAGATATAAGAAATTGCTTTTGAATGGGAATATCGAAGGGTGGTCATTAAAATGCAATGCAACAAGATTATTACCTAAAGTTTCGGAATTTAAATTCAGGTAAAATTGTGATCCGTAATAGAAAATAGTTTAATACCTACCTGTGTTTAATATTCTTTGGTTTGGTATACTACTTAGTTTAAGTTTATTAGTAATCATTCTTATTTCGTGTGTAATCTAGCGTGTGTTGAATTATGTGCGAATTATGCAAAATATGTGCGAGTCTAGTGTATCTCAGGAGATGTTCCCGCCCAAATGTAGAAAACACTATTCTATTGAGACTAAGGAAGTTGTAAATAATGTTTATTTGACTTTTATTCAACGTGGTGCCCGCAAGCAAGCATCTTTAGAAGAAACGGTCACATTGACGAAAATTCCAACATCAACTATATGGAAAGTTGTGAATAATCCCATTTCAGCGAGGAAAAAAAGAAGCGATGCTGACATTTTCTCGAGTGTAGATGAAAGTGATCAAGATATAATACGGTGTAACATTTACCAGTTATACGAGGAACAAAGTGTGTCTACATTAGATATCTTAATTAGGAGGCTTGAAAAGATGAAACCGGTATTAAATGTGGCAGAACTTCCTTATGGAAGTGTATTCAACACATGGGTTTTAGATTTTAAAAAATTGACAAAAGGGAAGTTTTAATGGAATCTTTTAGAATTCGTAAATGGCGACTGGAATATCTAGAAAAAAATTAGGATTTCCAGAGAACAACAAAGGCCAATTATTTACTTGGGTTATAAGTATAAAACAAACGCGCCATCAAAAAGAGGTAAAGATGGTTGAAATTCAAATGGAGTTTCTCTGTCTGCGAAAAATATTAAAGATTCTTCTATGGATTGGTTTAAAAACAAACTAGTTCCAAATATTTCTCCTAATAGCGTAATTGCAATGGAAAATGTAAGTTATCACATTAGACAGTGGACTAAAACCCCTTTCTCGTGTGACACAAAAGCAACAATCCAAAACTACATGTATAATAACGACATTTATTTTCACGAAGATTATACCAAAAAGTAATTAATTGAGGTTCTACAAAGCTTGAACCTACAAAAGGAATACGTCTGTGATAATTATGCAAAAAATCTAGGGCATACAGTTTTAAGGCTTTGAACATGTTTGGCACCAACTGAAATCTGCCATTCGTCGTAACAATGTTTTTCCCCGTGTTAACTCCAGTGTCCTGAAACTTATAGAAACCGAAATTTTTAACATCCCTCCACAAAGTTGGGCAAATTCTGTTAAACATATAGAAAAAGCAGAACAATCGTATATCTATATTGCAAATTATATAGAACAAATAATAATTAGAACACGCGATGATAGCAATAGTGATACAGATATATTATGTGAATAATTTTAAGTAATTTAAGTAGGTAATAAAAAAAATTTGTAATTTTATTTTAGATTTATACATAAATAAATAAATATTGTTTAGTATCTTTCCTAAAAAACCCCGAATAATTAAATTCTAAGCAAAGTACGGACCTGTTCGGCCATATTTCATTCTTACAGCTTGCCCGCGTCTTTCCTTAATTCGTTTCAGTTAGTCACTTTCTTATATCTACGAAGAGGTTTTTAACCCTAATGCAGTGTGATAGAGAAATAAATTCTGGACTTAATAACACTTAAACTTGCAGAGTGCGAAAAAAAACGAGTTTAGCGGCTTTCAAAATGTGAATATTTGTGGCCTAGTTTTGGGCACTCAGTAAAAAGGTAGCCTACAACGATAATAAAAACGTGAACTTAAACCTCTTTTTTTTAACATTTTTGCCAAATATGGAGATAAAATTTTTAAAAATTATAAAAATATGGATGTTCAAAGTTGGTTAAGCCGGAGGTGCAATTTTTTTTCAACTCCAAATATTTCAAAAATGGTTAGACATGGGTATGGGACATAAAATATGTTCAGAATTTCACACAGAATCTCAAAATGTAATAATATGCAGGGACTTCTATTTGCAATAAACAAGTTGCCAGCAACTTCCAGTTAAGCAGGGAGTACTTTAAAAAAGAAGTACACTTGAATCATACCTTAAGCCCACAAATTGAAAGGCGTTTCTAAATTACATCTCATTAAACTTTTAATAAATCACACTAATTTTCACTTTTCATCACTGTGTGTGAGAATGTGATATTTCTTATTGGGTCCTTAAGGGTCCTTAAGGTTCAAAATTTTAGTTTGTATTAGATCACTGCAAAGTTCTTTTTCCTTTGGTCAACCATGTTCAATTAATAAATCACTTCATCATCATCAAATCACATTTTTATGATTTGGCTTATATTTTTGAAAATTTCCGTTATATTGATTTGTCTAAGTTACGCGTTGTAAGAGTAGAATACCTACATCCAGATTTGGCCAAATCAAACATACTCCTCCTGCCGGAAATGTATACTCGAACACTCTACTTCTTTTTAAATAATCATATAGAAATATCCTCCCGTCTTCGCCAAGACTGGCAAGGTATGGACCGTAGGGGCAAGCGGCAATATCGGCCACCCGCCCCGCGTGACATTTGAACAGTTGTTCAGAAGGTTTCGGCTCTTTTTCCGTATTGAGATCGATTAACCAAATACCACCGTTCCCGTCTTGTGCAAAATGCTCGCTACAAGATGGGTTGTATTCGCGTCGTTTCTCGACCGACATCAGCATCAGCCCTGGGGTGTAAAAGTCGTAAGTCGGGTCGATCAATACGACCCTATCATCTTCTGGGGGATCGGCCTGGTCGATTTTTTCGAACCACCATACTTTTACGTGACCATCCATGGACACCTAAACAATAATAACAATATACGATGCGCGCCTTTGCCTGTAAACGTACCGTCCAAAGTTCGCCTTCGTTATAAAAGAATTGTACTATGGGAGCATCGTGACATCGGCGTCTCAAAGATCGGAACACTTCAAATGTAATCAGACCATCGTCCCAAACTAGAATATTTCCCCATTCGCAGCCTGATACGACCTAAAATATGAAACGCCTTGCAGAGTAACGATGTGGCTGGACCTTTAAAAGGATGTTTCAATTTCGTTTTGGTGACGTTTGTAAAATAATCTGTATATTGTTCAGTTACTTATGGAAAATTACGTATTTTATTTAACGCAAATTAAGTATCAAAATGAGTGTTCGCTAGTGTAAACATTGGACGCATTGCGACCGATTCAATAATCAATCTGCCAACACCTGTACGTTCTAGGAACGTAAGATCGGCCGAGGACATCTCCGCATGAGCGCGAAAGTGTACAGTAGAAGTTGAAGCAGTAGATTCATCGCTGCAATTCAAAAACTCGGTATTTTGCAGACTTCAGCTTGGCGAATTTTGTTCCGAGACTTAGGCCTGCAGACTTACAAGATCCAACTGACCCAGGAGCTCAAAATTCATGACTGACTGGGCTCTGTTTAGAAGTTTTGTCCGAAAAATCATCTTTTTTTGGATGTATGACTGTGTCAATAAGGAAAAATGCGTTATATGAGATGACACCAACACAAGGGAGGTTCACCAGGTGATACTGCATCCTAAAAAAGTTACCGATTTGCCTCGTTAGATTTTCTCTTTTGGCGTTCCTGGAAGTCGCAGGTCTATGCCCCAAAGGTGAACATATCCCAGGTCATCTCTCAAATTCAGATGGTTCTATGCGGAAGTTATTGAAAATAATGGTGTATGTTGGTCTTTCCATTAAAAAAATTACCACAGATTGTTTTATAACTTTTCAAGGTCTATACGTCCTTACTGAAAAACCCTTTGTGCCTCCATTCAATTAATTTTATTTATTGATTAAATTTATAGTCTAGAACCGAGCAAAAACGACTCGTGTACTTGGCGAATAATCGTTACTTGCGTATACTTGCCATGTCGTGCGAATGGGTTACTTGTACATTTATTTATCACTCGTTGATTTTCCATTATTCGTATACCATTATGCTCACAATTGCCAAGTACATACTCGTCTACACTTGTAGAGATAAAATATGCTGCTACTGCGACTATTCATTGTTTTGAAGACATAGCAGAAGCGTACAGACGTTTTTTTTTATATATTTTTTTTTAAATTGAATTGGAGTCGACAAATGACATTCTGTTGGAATTTTTGGTTTTTTTGAAAATGAGAAGGTTAAATGGATAGCTAAACATAAAGACTATAAAAATTGTAATGCGTGGAAAAGAATACAAAATATGATATCAGTTCAATGTACTATAAATATCAATAAATATCAATTAGATCACTCCCAGGATGCTACTGAAAATATCAAGTTTTGGCAAGCATGGAATTAAAATTGACAATTTAATGAGATGGGACGTGCACAAAAACTTTCCAAAAGGAAAAATGAGACGGCTTGTCAATTTAAAAAAACCACTTATATTATATATGTCATTGATGCCGAGCGATCTGAGTTTGAATGAGATGGTGTTTGTTGAAAACAACGGAACAATTCTGCGATTTATTGAAATTTAAATTTGTCAAAAATCCCGGCCACAAAATTTGAAATTCTTATATTAATTATTCGACGATGGCCAATCATAGGTTATTAAAGACCTAAAACGTTATTATTTATAATCTTATAAATCTGAATAACTAATATGATAATTGTTATTTTATAACAATTCGTGATTTGCGTCCACCAATAATTTTTTTTTTAATTTGCCGGTTATAAAATATTTTTTTGGTATACCTTTGTATCTGGCATAGGCAGAACGCCAACCACATCAGAATACTCGGTTTTCCCGAATCTGCCTAGCTCGCCTTGCAGTTTCAGTCCAGTAAAAGTGCGCGCCATTTTCCAGAACTTTATATGTGCGACACCTGATGGAATACCTCTGAATTGGTCGAAATGTACTATTATATGAATGTTTACCGCAAGTGGTTAGTTGTCCGGCAACATAAGGCGAGAACTTCACCCTGTAGACATCGTTTATATAGGATTTGGTTCGCAGTAGGATCGTATGGTTTCGCCAATCCCACACAGTTATCAGATAGTCTGGATCTCCGCTTTGGGAGACGAGCAAATCGCCGTTAGGGCTACAAGTAAAAAAAATGTATTATACTTATTATGGAGGCAAGACACAATTGTGGAAAAGATAATTAGTCGGAGTCACGATCCTATTCTCGGATAGAGTTTGCTTTATTGAATCTTTTCTAATTATCAGCGTCGGTGAAATATAATGATAAAGACCCTTCGAATATAAAAAAGCATTTTGAAATTTCCACAAACTTATTTTTCTCTCTGGCTGGTCAATCTGCACATATCCTAAGTGAAATAAGAGTATAAGAGAAACGCATAATCGTAAAATAATATCGTGCAATAAATAAATAATCGAAAAGCAGAAACCATCAAACTAGAGAACATTTTTGTCAAAAAAATCAAGCGGGTTTCCACTCAAGAATGGGACTCTTTTGGCTTTAGTGATTTCTAATTTCTTCAGAAGATTCAGTTTTTTTACTCTTTTGGCACTCATGTAGAATACTGACATTTTTATTAGGAGAAAAATTAATGCCCTTGGAAAAAAGATGAGTGGCGAAAACTGTTTTGTTCTCTGTCCTTGTATTTTTTCATCAAATTTAAATGTTCGTGGACCCTGATGAAAATCTTCCTACTAGGCTGTCCGATTTAAACGATTACAGTCTTCCCGGTTCAAAGAGTTTACCCCTAATCTTCAAAAATAATCCACAGGATCCTTAACTTTGATTAGAAATTGTTTGATTATATTATTAGTTTTCGAAGCTTTAGAGAAACTCTCCCTCGACTTAGACAATTGAAATATACAATAAAGGAGAATGGAAATGTTGCCGAAGACGTGTGTGGACGTGTTCTTGTTATTATACCTTGGATAGGTAAGTTTTACCATTTCTGGATCTGATATTAATCAGAAAAAGTAAAATAACTGAATTCGATATTTTTTGAAAGTCCACTGACATTGTAATGCAATTTTAGTTCAATTCTTAGTTTGCCTCCTTTAATTATTTGTTTTACAGGTTTGTAATATTTTACTTTCAAAGGAAGCATTTAACGATTAATTTAGAACTGTTAAACAAATTCTTCTATAGCTTTTAAAACTAAAAGTACATAAATAATTACATATACAATAAATATAAATAATTCATGATCAAAAGTTAAGGAAACTTTGGACTATTTTTCTGGATGATGGGTAAACTGTTTGAACCGTGAAGACTGGACTCCAGTTGTCATCAGATTTCACGAACATTCACGAAGATTGGTTAGTTTTGGTTAATTTACCACCTTACTACTTTAGTTAGTTTACTACTTTATTCTCTTGAAAACGTCTTTGATGGGTCTGATCACGCTCGTGTGTGCGAAACCCGTACATTGTTTAAAAATAACTTTTGAGACATTGACTTGTGGCTGTGTTTCAATAGTTAGTTTCCTTCGAATTTTCATGAAAGCGTGGTCTTGGATTTGTTTGATTGAGAATAATTATTTAAACATTTGGAACAGTTAGAACTATTAAGAATAATAATAGTTCTGAAACGGTGCGTTGAGGGACTACTTCTGCAAATGACTCCAACGCATCCCTCTAATGGAAGTTATGGAATTATTGAAATCATTGAGTGAATTCCTTACTATACAGAAGAAGTATTTGGGATGAAGATACGAATCTATATATCTTGATACTTGCAGCAGTCTACATATTTCAATATATCATGTTTTTTTTACAAATTTTTCCCTTTTCGTCAGTCTTTCGCCCAACCGTCAGTGTAGCACATTCATTCTTACGTTCATTTAATGTGTGTGTTAAATTCTTCAAAAGGCTAGCAACTGTAATCTAATAACAAAGGCGCAAAATGGAAGGTACTAACGGGTGATTCAATAAGAGTTTCCACATTACAATCTGAAATATTTTTGAAACGCCACTGTATTTGTCGATTATCATATGAGATTTCTCACCTCAAAACATAAACAAAATTAGTCATGGAGCAATATACGACTGAACAACGTGTAAAAATTGTGAAAGCCTATTATGAAAATGGTCGATCATGCATTTCGGGCTCTACGTGAATTTTTCGGCGCGCAAAATCGACCTTCTGAGAGGACAATTTGGAATGTGGTTCAAAAATTTGAGCAAACTGGATCTGTAACTAACCTCAACGTGCTCGTGCAGGTGGGTCAGATCAAAATATTGATATTGTTCGCGAAAGTGTAGCCGAAGATCCAAACACATCGATTCGTCATCGATCGCAGCAAGTGGGCCTTACGTATTCAACCAAACAGCGAATTTTAACAAAAGACTTGCATCTACACCGATATAAAGTCCAAATAACTCAGGAGTTGAAACCTCGAGATCATCAACAGCGCCGCGTGTTTGCAGAATGGATACGAGAACAAGAGGTTCATTTTTCAACGAAAATCATCTTTAGCGATGAGGCACATTTTCACGTTGGTGGCTTTGTAAACAAACACAATGCTCGTATTTTGGGATTAAAAGATCCAAGAAAGATTGTTCAAAAAGCAATGCATCCTCAAATAGTGACTGTTTGGTGCGCATTTTGGTGACGAGGAATAATTGGCCTTTTTTTTTCGAGGATGATGCGGAGAACGCTGTTGAAGATTTGTGGTTCCAACAGGATGGAGCCACTTGTCACACATCCAGAGAAACGATGCAATTGCTGCGGGGCAAGTTTCCTGGTCGGATTATCTCACGTAACGGCGATATCAATGTGATCTTACTCTCCTAGATTTTTTTTTGGCGTATCTAAAAAGCAGAGTGTATAGAAATAAACCAAATACTATTCCAGAGCTGAAACAGGAGAATAGACGCGAAATACAACCTGAATTGTGTGAAAAAGTGATAGGAAATTTCAATAAACGAATTACGTCATGCCACATGAGTCGCGGGGGTCATTTGAATGTCATCATCTTTCATACCTAATTGTAATACACTAATCTAAAATGGCAAATAAAAATGTTATATTTTTATATTCTTCCGAGTTTTTTTTATTATTTTAATGTGGAAACCCTTATTGAATCGCCCTTTATTTCAGTATCTCGTTAATACCGAACCTTATTGCGTTAAATATTTTATGGAAATTTTAATATAAAAGGTTCACTTTAGTTTGAATTCTGATGTCTTAAGATTAAATTGTAAATTGTTTACCCGGAACAGCTTATCATTGTTGGTTCCTGAGTTTTCCTTAAAATTTTTACATTTGGATATTAGAGTGTTAACGGAATACTTTCCTAAGAATTAATTATTGCCGCTTGACAAGCTATACCAGATATTCATTTGGGTGGTAGCATCCTTGTTTTGTGGTTTTAAATAAAATAAATAAAAAATAAACTAAACTAAAATACTGTTGCTTGATTACTATTTTCTCTTACTTAAAATCTATGTTGGAATAAATCCTTTCGGCGCCTCCTTTTAGGACACATACGACCTCCAACGTCGGCCACACGTAAGTTATTATTATCGGAACTGTTCCACATTCGGCCACAGAAAAATGCGGATAAATCGTATTCGGATTCCCCTATAAATCATATGAAAAGCGAAAGCCATTAAAGATCGGTTCATTTACCTGAATGTGACCGATCCCGCCACCCAAGGCGCTTCTCCTGAATACTGTTTCCTTGGATTTAACGTCCAGGAAAATGATAAAGTTTCCCGACGAAAACGTCACAGTGTTCTCGTCCAGGACCGTTAAGTTAAAATATTTTCTGCAATCGTACCCGTACGAGAAACTATAGCGCGCCATAAGGAAACTATGGGTTATTATATTTAAGTCAGCATTAGAGCGGATTAAGGATACTCGAACTGCAGTAAGTCCTGGTTTAAAGTGCCCCTCTTGCCGACTCGAGACCCTGAAATAAATTTATTCGAATCGTACATGTTATCGGTTTCAGCCGTCGAATCTTCCATGGGAAAAATATTGTGGGTATTTTCCAAGTCAGAAAATTCACAAATTTCGTTTACTGTTGCCAAGGGAACGTTTGATCATTTATTTCCGTAACTACCATTGCTTTTCACTGCATTTAGGTCTTTGATTTTGACGTCTATAGAAGGAGAACGCTTAATAGTATATTATGCAACAAGTTCGTTTTTTTTTTGGATTTATTAAAACCTAATTTAGTTATTCTTATTTTTTAACTTTCTTTTGATTAAAACATTTTAAAATCTAATTTTAATTATTACACTTATCTAAAGATATATTAGCTAGGCTAAAGGCTCGATGAAAAATAAATGGAGTACGTGGTTTCTAAATTTCTAAAAATCAAACCATACTAGTAAATACAATAGAAAGTAGATTCAATACAATAATAATAATGAATAATAAAGATCTTAGAATTTCTGAACGAGAGAAGATTGGCTATGTTGGAGTCAAAGAGGCAATGAGGAAGAAATATTTTAGCAGGATCGCCAAAATCCTAACATTGGAGTTATACTTCAAAGACAAAATACATGCACTAGCCTTGCCTGTTGTACATTACATCATCATTTGGGCTGGAAAAGGATACTGTACTGCACTATACTGTACTGAAAAATGTAAAATAAAAACCTAACAATTCATCAATTTTTACACCCTAGTGCAAGTCCAAAGGAAAGTTGCAATTAGCATTACAAGCGCTTACCGCACAGTATCGACCAAAGAACTTACGTAATAGCTCGTACACCACCAGTAGGCATAATGGCTGACGAAAGGGAATCAGTGCGTCAGAAAAAAGGAAAAGAAGAAGCAGGACAACATACGAAAAAAATATGACAGGAAAGGTGGGATCAAGAAGAAAGATTGGCAGAATATAAGATGCAGTTAATATCGAAAATTGGACCCTGACACAGGTCTTATCCTCTCCACCAAAAGCAAAGAAATGGCCAGATTCACGAAGTGATGCGAAAACAGGTTGCAAAAAAAGGAAAAGGAGGAAAGAAGTATAAGGAAATAAGGGAAATGGAAGAAAGGAAACTAACAACTTAGATATATCACCTTCTTTGAAGTAATGCAATGCAAGTTATTCCAAAGAGTCACTTAATCATATTAAATTAATTATATTAGTGTAACCATTATTACTATAATATATATTTATATACTTCATTCATAGTAAAAGAGAAATAAATGTTGTAAATGATAAAAAATATATTCGTAATCTAAGTCATCACAACTTCTTAATCAACCAACAATTAAATAAACTCTTACCAACTATTAATAAACATAAACTGCAAAGTCAAAATATTCATATTAGTTACTACTACTTTCCGAATCATTAAAAATTTAAAAAAAAATAAAAATTTACAGAATTTATCTATTATTGAACACCCTCAACCCACGCACAAAGATTTACATATTTGCAATGGATGTTGCGTGAATTAAATTTAACATTTAATAACATTTCAATGTTATTTATTTTAATTAATTTATTTATTTAGTACATAAATATGATAACTGTCCAAAACTTGATCCCACGCTGGATTTGTTCTTTTTTCCTATTGTTCACTGTTATTTAATGTTTGTATAAAGGTTTCGATTATTTTTTGTATAGAGTATATATATGTTTTGTTTAGCTTGTTTAGTTATTTAATGGGATCAAATCGAAAATATGTATTTCAATAATATTTCGAAGAAAAAATGAATTATAATAATAAATTAACTTTTGTAATAGCAGTTGGTCTTGTATTGTATATTGTAAATACGTTGCGATAGCTTGAATTTGCAGTGCTCCGTATGCACAAGATTTTGAAACCGCACTTCATCGGTTTCCTTTTACCATTTGCGAATAAATAACACGTATTGTGTGAATACCGCTATTCGTTATCATAAAATAAACAGAAAACCGCATATCACGAAACTTTGAAACAACAAGCGTCGCAGCAAAGGAATTTTTTTCCGTCGTTTACTGTTTTTGTGCTTTACGTGTGATTAGAACATGTAGTTTTCATTAGTCTGGCTTTAAGAGGGTTGCAACTCCTGACAAGTGAACTTACAGCGCCTCTACAAATAACCACAAATCACATTATACAAGGTTTAACCAAACTATCAACTGCCAACAATCCAAATAAAATTCGGCAGATATCTACGACTTTATTGCCAAACTGAGAGGTCAAATTGTGCTGATTCTTTTGGTTCTTAGAAGGCTATTTGTCATTTCAGTTGTGTTTTGTTATATTGAAAAACTTCTTCCTAATAAAAAGAAAAAACCTAATATCTCTGTAATTTCTTGTGATAGACGGGAGCATTTTAGGAAATAAAGATATGTTTTTAATCGTTTTACGTTACATTTGTATAAAGCTGTCCGTCTGTATTAGTGTCGAGAGTGTGGGGAGGGTTTCATACGTGAAAAAAATTGTTCAAGAATTTTTTTCGTATAACAGCTATTTTTTTGAAATACACATTTTCCAAAAAAAAAAAACACTATAACCAAGTACATGGAGAATACTTTTTGAATTGAGATCTACATTAGTTTTCGTCTATCTCCTTTATGAAGGTGAGTTTTCCTTTAAAGGTGTCCAATTGGGCGCACCCTGTGCATTTAAACTTCTAGATTTTATTTGCGTGATACCTGTTTCCGTTCTATTTGAATCTAGACCATACCAGAATACAATTTTGCCATGCGTGTAAATAAATTAATATCAAGTGCGAAGCCTCGACGGACCGATATCCTAAGAAAGTCGCGTATGCGCAAGCGGCATATGGACGTCTGACGCAAATGTTTCGCTTTTGGTTTCCCAATTGCGTTGACAGTTTGTCCTGCGTCAAGTTTAGTTTATGGAAACTGGAACAAGGTCTACGAACCGAGACATCCTCTACCGATACGAAAAATATTTTAGCTATTAAGATTTATCTTTTAGTCGAAAAAGAAAATGCAATCTGAAGACCGACATTCGCGTTTGCGGGTGAAATTTGTATTACCTTAATTAATATTATTGTTATGGTCTGTTCATAGATATAAGAAAGTGACCAATTGCTTTTGAATGGGATTATCCAAGGGTGGTCATTAACATACAATGCAACAAGATTATTACCTAAAGTTTCGGAATTTTAATTCAGGTAAAATTGTGGTCCGTAATAGGAAATAATTTTATACCTACGTGTGTTTAATATTCTTTGGTTTGGTATACTAATAGTTTAAGTTTATTAGTAATCATTCTTATTTCGTGTGTAATACAGCGTGCGAATTATGCAAAATATGTACGAGTCTAGTGTATCTCAGGAGATGCTCCCGCCCAAATGTAGAAAACACTATTCTATTGAGACTAAGGAAGTTATAAACAATGTTTATTTGACTCTCATTGAACGTGGTGCTAGCAAGCAAGCATCTTTAGAAGAAACGGCAACATTGACGAAAATTCCAACATCAACTGTATGGAAAATTGTTAATAATCCCATTTCAGCGAGGAAAAAAAGAAGCGATGCTGACATTTTCTCGAGTGTAGATGAAAGTGATCAAGATATAATACGGCATAAAATATAGAACAAATAATAATTAGAACAGGCGATGATAGCGATAGTGATACTGATATATTATGTGAATAATTTTAAGTAATTTAAGTAGGTAATAAAAAATAAATAAATATTGTTTAGTATCTTTCCTAACAAAACTCCAAATAATTAAATTCCAAGCAAAGTACGGACCTTGACAGCCATATTTCATTCTTACAGCTTGCCAGGGTCTTTCCTTAATTCGTATCAGTTGGTCACTTTCTTTCTTATATCTATGAACACACTTTACCTATTAATTGTATACTTTTATTGTTTCCACAAACATAACTGTTCAGGTAAGCGATCGCATTTCGCAGCGTTCTGAACTCTATTTACAAATGGTGAAGAATATGCGGACAATACAACTGTAATAATATCTGGCCCGAACGAAAATCTGTCCATTTATAAGGCCCAGAAGTAAAAGGTAGTTACAATATCCTTTCGTTTTTGATTTTAAAGGCCACCAAATTCGACCAACGAAATATATAAATTTCCTAGGTATTATGCTAGACTACAAACTAATTTAACAAATACAAGTACAAACTGGGCGCTGTTGCAGCTCGGATGAGAACCTATGTGGTTCTACATGTTTTCACTTGCCATCTAGATAAAACTATAGCCATGCCTCTCCTAGATCGTCAGATACCGACAAAAAACAGGAAAAATTGAATAATAATCACTGATCCATCAATGAGCCTGTCAATTACATTCCTCATTCCTAGCCCTCAAGCGTAACAAGAAACAGTACTCACTAGCTAAATCTGAACCTGCGGAAGCCATAGCAAACGTCTTTAGTAATACGTCAGCAATCAGCATTCGACTTGGCAGACAAATTCAGTACATCATCAAACAACAAATTACAAAATGGGTTAGGTTTGATGTTGTGGAAATATAAACGTAGGCAGAAATAAGTTCGTGTAATAGTCAATGCACTGAAGTTGTGGAATATACGAAAAACAAACAACTCTAGTTTTTTTGCACACAGATTTTCATAAAGAAAATCTTTGATATTGGGCTTTACTAATAAAAATTATCAATTAAAAATATGATATAATTTTCATACGATTTAAATCACAAATATATATTTCACTTATGAGGTTTTCGGATTTTCTCAAATAACTAATACTATACTTATATTTTTGCTCGTTTACCACCCAAGGGCCCCAACCACAGAAACGTGATCTTTTAAAGTTCAGAATTTTTATATAAATAATAGAATTTACACTGCATTTACCACATTCTATAATAAGAAAATCTCAGTAAAGCTAATGTTACACATGTAATAAAACTAACCAATACCAATACCATTTTATGATAACATGAGGAATTTTTTTTGGAACATACCTCTTGTGAACACAACTTGTTAAATAGAAATAGCAAACCCAGAATAATTAGTTTGTTTATACAGGATATTTAATAAAAATGTGCCATC